TCTTGTGTGCACAAAATCCTCCCCAGTTATATGTTGAACTCTCTCAATGCAACACTGCAGTATGTCAACTGCAATGAATGAAGGAGAGACACTTTTATTAAGAGTTTTCTAGCAGCCCAAGAAGTTGAGCCACAGCAACTGCTGGATTACAGAATCACAAGATGAGGGGCTAGTGTGCAGACCTGTCTTAATTAATCTGCAAGCAGTGGCCATAACATCTTTTTTAGATCATATATTAATAACACCCAATCCCTATCCATTCCATATTAATCAAAAGATAAACACACATCACTTTGATAAAGGCCAAATTGGGATATTTTATATAGTCATGCAGGAAAGACATGTTTTTAATCTGACCTGGCCTATATCATACTTGACCGACTGAAAGCATGTTCTTGGGGCTGATCAAGATTTCAATGCCTGTGAAACCTAGAAACCTGTGTCATCTAATTTGGTGTTATCAATACTTTGACATCCTGAAAAACACTTTATCACAGATAACTATGAGGGTAGCTAGGGAAATGCAACACAAGGGGAATTACACATATTATCACGACAGCATGAAAAACACAAGACAAAACCACCCAGCCTGACTGTTGGGTGAAATAAACTTTTTAAGATGCACAAAATGTTACTCTAAATTTAACCCATGCACCAAAGGGACAACATTAGCTAAGCTGGAAGTAATTTTCTTCCTCCTGCAAAGCAACATGAGCAACAGAGGGTGTGAAATTAGCAAGGTGTAATTCTGGTAGCCAAGTCCAGATGAAATACCATTACCCGCCTCCCTTGGGATATTAGAGGAATATGCTAGAGGAATCTTCCTTCAGCAAACATCTTCCACTAGTCTGACTTGCCCAAATCCTTGAAAAAATCAACACTTTTTGAGCTTTCACCCCTAATTGCCCTGTACCTCCCCCTCTGTGAGCAATCCCAGCCTCCCAGACAGTTTAACACCTTGTCAATGCACCTAGATCTGCCGATCTCTCTGTTTGCACTGGCAACCTGATCAAAGTTGAACTAACCCCAAACATGAAGGAAAATCCAATAAAGATTGTGAAATTGAGGGGAATCCTTGTCCTAGAATGGTAAGCAATGTAATCATATTGATTTCACAATAAACTGGGAAATACCTTGAGATGTCAATAAAAACAACATGTACTGAGACTGGGAGATAAGAAGACACAATTCTTTCATGTATTTCATAAATATGTAATAAAGAAATAGCAGCAAGGACATGCAATTTACCTACTGATGAAGCGCATATCTAATTAACCGTGCACATTTTTAATCATCAAGGGATTTCCAATTCCACTAGAATGGTAACATATTGTGCCAACTTAGGTCTTAAAGAAGCAATCTGTCCAAGCCGTTCTATATTAAAAGACTGAACTTTGACAAAGGAACGCTTAATTTAGTTATTTTCCATGGATGACAAACTTCAACTGCCCAGAACCTAAAAAGGCATTTACAGCATCGTGTAAAATACTTTCACAGTACCAATCAAATACTTAATACCAACAGCTTTCAAAAAATCACAAAAATAACCATATGTATGTGATTCGTTTACTTATCTATAATGTACAAATGTGAGAAAGGAATGAGGGTATATATATATATATGTATATAATGTCACTATTCATGAGGCTGTCTGTCTGTCTGCTTCAGATGAGGGTAACAGTTGACAACCTAATAGCTGCAGGTTGGTGGCACTAACTGGTGGACAAAGAAGGACAGGTGACAAAGAGGCCGGTATTACCTTAGATAGGCAATTACTCTGGCATAGCCATATGCTGCCTATGCTGTGACCACCATTGATAGAATTGCCCTGTAGTACCCAATCAAGGAACACTTATCTCTGGCTGATTGGACTTAATCATGGAATGGTAGACTTTAGCCCATTGCTGACTAACTTTTTTATTTGTGGCCATATCTTTCCTTCAACACTGGATATAATCTTGGGCAAACGAAGCAGTTGCTAAGGAAAGCAGTCATCCCTGATGTTTACCTGCTATGCAAGCTACAGTGGATGCTATAACCAAATAACCTGATTTATTAAATTTCATGTTCAGCATGCAATTGCCAATGCCAGATAATTAACACAGAGTCCCAGAGCTTGCATGGCCAACATGAAAAATGGAGAGTACGTTAATTAAGAATTTATTTTCAGAGCAGAGAAATTCTAGCCTTTATCTCCCCAAATGCACAAATGTGCTTTCAAAGATCAGAATCAAAGGTTTTAACATTATACTGTTTCCATGTACTGGTGTTATCTATCAAACACCGGTGACAATAAAATTGTCGGTGCATGCATCACTTGCTTTTCTCTCACTGAGCCATATAGCATTAGAGTGGAGGAACAACATTCTGAGTTCTGTCTGACATAAACCAGACTAAAGTAAATAGAATTTTCCATAATTCATCCAACTGTTAGTCTTTTTATTGAGCTGTTGTGAGTTAATGTGTTCAGAATTTCTCTGGACAAATCCCATTCTTTTAAACTGTTTAGTGGTCCTCATTATTTAGCTAAGACTATTACCCCCGTAATCTGCCAGCAAGGAGTTGAGCGCTGGAAGACGTAATCCCCTGCAATTAGTGGAACAAATAGACATAGGTATTTAAGCCACGCAGACAATGACTTGGGCATGCTTAGGTAATTTTCTAAATTCGCACTGAACGGAAATTGAGATTTTCACCATCAGTTGGTCAGTAAATGACATTTTGTATTTGAAAACATATTCACTGTACCAACAAACTCTTAAACCTTGATGTTGCTTCAACTCTACTGCTACTATTCAATTCTGGTTTTGCCTTTAACATTAGACATTTCTAAAGACGGCACTCAAAAATCCTGGAAAATTATGCACTTTGCTTGGCTTCAGGAAGCACGAGTTATATTGTAAGCAAGAGCAATATGAACGTGGCTATTACTTTGCTGATCTTCAAAAAGGAATGAATCAGCTAGGATTTGTTTTTACATGAGAAGATACCATTTGTTGTCTTTTTCTTAAAGAACAGCTTGCTATTCACATGGAGATATAAAAATGCTTTTTTTCTTTTTCTTAAACCAACTTGTTCTTTTGCGAGTAATGCTTTCATTTTCTTTAAGCAAAATTACAGTCTTTTAAAATGTTCATCCAACAGTAATACAAAGAAATGGATAAAGACAAGTGCAAAATCTTATCAAATTTTGAATCCTTTCAATGTGTTTCTATAATGTATATATACAATTTGTTCTATTCTAAGAAAACAAGTGTATTCATGATGAATAAAGCATAATTCAATGATGTTATGAGAAATCTGTTGAAAAATGTCATAGGTGGTATTATGTAGCTTTTTGTGGGTTTCATATACTTTCATTCGGTGCAGAGACGAATTAAAACTTATCTCTTGGGTCTTCATATTTCACCTTTCCATATCAAATTCTGAATATCAACCTCACTTCACACAAAGGTGAAGATTTTGGTTAGAAGAGCTGTCCTGGCAATCTTTACTTCTGCTGTGACCACTGATCCTTAATAACACATCTTCCTAGCAATTTACTTATAGTCTATGCCAGGAAGAAATGATGCTGAGGACAGTACAAATTAATGAGCTGTCACACTGTCAGTGTGAATACCACACAAATGAGAAAATATTCCTCAATTTTATTCCCACAGCTATAACTGAAGTGTGATCATTTATTTAGTACAACACAACGCCCATGAGATACTTGACCAACCAAACCTAGACATAGCATTAACTGCTTTCAATTTAACTAATGGTGGATCATGACAGCAGCGTTTTTGTTCTACCTAACCACATTGTTCTTCTTTACAAACACTCCATGAAATATCTGCTCCCAACAAACAATGACTGCCTTACAATCTTATTATAGAAATATGCAGTCTTCATGGAAACAGTTGATGAATTAAGAACAGGAAAAGGAGGACTTGAGTTCTTAGAGAATCAGTTGTGACTCTCAGAAATGAGATTGAATGGGTCATATTATCAGCCCAAAGCTCATGAATATCAAAGTGAATTTCTGTACAACAGCTGAGACTATGCGTAAAACTAAACAAAAGCAATCAAGGCAGGAATAAAACCACAGACGCATCTATCCCAAGAAAAACTCGAAGGAGATTATTTCCATGTTACTACCAATAAAATAATCACAGAGCTATTTGTCCTACAAATAGTAAAATGCATTACAGTAATTCATATTGGTGAAAATTAAATATAAACCTTGCAATGAAGACGTGATGCGGTGAAAATTACATTTAGTTCTGGGTGAATGGAGTCATGAATGTCAAGTAGTTAGAGGAAAACTGCAGAGCTGTAGGACATGGCACAAGGCAGACCTAGGGTCTAATTTACATACATCATTCCAAGAAATAAATGCCAGATCTGTCAGAAAGAGATGGTGAATAAATTACAATCAACGCAAGGGCATACAACAAGGACATTCATTCTCAGCACAAATCATTCCTCAGAATGAATTACTACACTGCCAGGCAGAGGTAGAATCAAAAGCAAATTTGTTATCTTCTGGGACAGTCATTTTTCCACCAACACACACACGTATACACATAAACACATCTTTAAGTATTGCAATAGCATGGGTCTCCTCTGAAATTAAAGTCACAATTATTACCAATACAAGTAAAACACGGATTAGATGTAATACACACTGTACATGACCCATTACAAAGAGCAATGTTGATATGGCTATCAGCAAGTGCAGTTACACAGACCAATTTGATGATAACTCATATTGACCACCTGTCATTAGTTGACACAGCTAAGAGCCATATCACTCTACTTGCACACAAATCACAGCTGCTTGGGTCACTAAGGTAAATTTCCAATGACAATTGTTACAATTTTAAAAAGATACTTTGTCTTTAGTGTTACAATGAAAATGTTCCAAATATATACTTTGTATTAAGTCAAATATTATCCATAATTCACACTATCTTAGACAAAGGAAATAAGAAAGTAATAAAGCACTGTACACTTACACAACCCACCTGCCAATCGCAGTGCTGACATGCGTTGAAATTCGGGTTCTTGAAGCCACTTCCACATGCGCCGAAAGGTTTCCCGCCCTGACTTCAGCTTGCTCCAGGGCTTGGGATTGCGAAGGAGGTCACTCAGAGTCCCCTGACTACGACATAGAACCCGCTGTGCGAACACTGCCTGAGGTATGCTGTATCGCTTTAATTCACTGCTGATTCTTTGGGCTAGCTCTTTTGTGTTGATCTCTTCTAATTCTTGACTATTCGATGATTTGGAATCAAGACCCGAGCGTTCCTTCATTACAGATAGCCCATGGGGAGAGTGTGTTGAATGTAGACCATTGATCATTGGGCTAGGAGATTGCAGTCTCCCTATCTGGTGAGGCAAGCCTGTGTAGGGGTCATACCCATTGGGGGACATTGACATTCGTGGTTCAGGTTTGGCATACTGAGCTTGGTATGGTTCTTGTATACCATAATTTGGGAATCCAGAAGTGTTCATCATGGCCATGGACATGGGACTGGAGGCTCCCAGTGATGGCCCCATATTCATACTGGACATGCTCAGCGGTTTGTCAGAACGGTAACCGTTCATGTCAATTCCATAACCATTGTTCTGCATGAGAGTAAAACTTCCACTTACGCTTGGTGTATGTGCTTCCCGTGAAAATTTATCTGACACAGTAGATATCGGTGGTAGTGGCTGTAGAGGTGTGAGGGTGGCGTAGCTATTGTTGTAATTCGGGCTCATGCGGCCGTTAACAGTGTTCAGAGTCTGGTAAGTAGCTGATTCCGGCATTTGTGATCTGAATTCGTGACTGTCGATCATGCTTGCAACACTGACGGCAAGTCCTCCGTTCCTCGAGATCGAAGGAGACAGATCTGGGCTCATCAGGTCGTGACTGCCGGCAGGGGACCCGACGCCAGAGTCTGTCAGCGTTTGATCGTGGAGTTCCCCCATGCTCTCCATCGTCATTCCTAGAAAAAAACAGCGATTGGATTATTCACACCACCCAAAATACCAGGCCCAGTTACCCGTCACCACGAATTTCAACCTGTCTGAGTTTAGATATTGTCCTGTCTGAGCGGTTTCTGCAGAAACAATCTCTCAATGGCCAACCTCCATGTTGAAGCTTTTCTTGTTTAGACAGCTGTTCTTTCGCGCACCTGCCTCTGCGCAGGTTTTGTTTGCGCATATCCGGCATCTTTCATTGTTTCTCTCCAAGTTCAGAGGCTTTGGGCTGCCCGCAGGCTTTGTTAATCTCTTTTGTGCGATGGGCTATTACATTCAATGGGCACGCTTACCAATTATCACGCCAATTGCTCTGTCACATAATTAAAGGGGGAGGGGGCTGACAGGCCGGCATTGGAATTTGACAAAATATTACCCCAGAAAACCAAGAACGCCAGTTCATTAACATGAACGCAGTATCTTTAATAATGCATGCCAGGATGCGCCACATTATGTGGAAATTGGGTAAAGTTGGGATTACATGCTAATTTCGACGGCACGCGAATTAATTTGGTATGTAAATATTAATGTTACTGTGGTGGCAGTTGAACTTGCGCATAATTATTATGTGTCTATGTGTGTGTGTATTTTCTAAATAGATTAGTCTCGTGACAATATTTTCGTTCGCCTAATAAAGTATTTTTGATATCAACTGATAAAGGAATGAAATAGTTTTACCTTCTTGTGAAGTAGAAAATATGAAAGAGACAATGAACTTCAAAGTCTGCGGCCTGAAGAACAATGCACAAAGTAGGATAAGTTGCTTTGCTGCGTGCCTTCTGTTGATAAAACGCTTAATACGGTTGCTTGTGTTAAATCCTTATTAACTCCAGAGTACAAATATAATTTACACGTAACATGATTCAAGTCGCGTGTTTATTTATTGCTGTCTAACGGTGCCGCAAAATTCGAAGTAATAAAGAAACATTTTGAGGGGTATCAAAAACACCGCTGCCCATCTTGCATCTTTTGTTTAAAGAGAAAGAAAGTTGGGATGTGAACGATTCTACAGCTTCTCAGAAAGCGAATCCGTTTAAAGTTTGTTAAATTAGAATTTGAGAGACCGTAAGAAGTATATCCACCGCGTCTTATTTTCCAAGAATTATCTTTCTCATTATATATGAACAAATAAAGTTTTAAAAAGTAAATGACGTCTTCTTACGCCGGACTTCTTTCAACCTGCAACAAGGGTGTTTTACAGACGAGCAGAATCGAAGGCAAACCCAAATGAAGCCAGCACTCTCAATTCCAGAAAGAGTTTTAAGAAACGATCAAAAAACAACGTACGCAAGTAAGAACTATTCTTTCTTTCTTTTTTTCTTTTTTCGTTTACCGACCGATTATAAAAGTGATGTTTTCTGACTGTCTCTCGGTGAGCATTAAGCAAGGACGATATAGATACGCTAACACTTTGATATCGGAATCGGATCCTCAGATTCGATTAATCATTACAATATTATACACACATGTCTAGCGAAACATACGACGTTCCGTTAAATTCTTACGGTGTTTCGGCTTTAAAAATTACGCATACGGGTCTTAGGTTCAAGATTTTGACAACGTTTTCTTAAAAACCCATGTTCAGAAAATTTCACCTCTTTATTGATATCCCTCAGAATTCTATATGTGTAAGAACAAGTAGTTCAAATCTTAAGAACTGACATATGAATTCCTTCTGGGAAGGGGAACACCTCTGACTTCGATTAATCATTAAAACAGACAAACATTTTACTCCATACAGAGTACAATATCAAGTCCCAGTTTTAATCGGAGTTTTAAAATTTATTTTAATACAGCAAGATAAAATGACTTTCACGGGAAATGAGCAAATATTTTTTAGCTAAGATGCCATTTTTGGGACCATCTTCTAGACTGCTTGGCAGCTAACGGAGATAGATCGGCCCATGTGGTTTGAACGCGTGTTTAACCGAGGTAAATTTAATTATTGCTCTTAAAGTCTTATTTGTTTAAGATAGCAAATGCAAACAAAAATTTCTCTCACCAAGAATGGGTTATTATATTGCCATACTAGTTGTCTGCATTTTTACCGTGTATTTCAAAACGTAGTTTAAATATTGTAGCTGTATCTAAAAAATCGTTCAAATACTTTTTAACCGACAAACTTCTAAAATGAATTTAAAGGAAATATCTTAATATCTAAAATAGCATTACTAAACTATTTGACGAGTGAATGGAATATTAGCACCTAGATCCTCAATATACCCCGTGCAAATAAGCCTTCAAAAATGAATTTGAAAAATGTTCTAAATTTCATCTCTTATCAATGTGTGCATTCCGTTGGTGATATCAAAACATCAAAGTCAATATTGAATGGATCACTCTAGCAGGCAGTGCTAAAATAAAGTAGCAACTACCTTTGAAGCTTGTCGTTAATTATCTTTCGTCGCTGCGTATTTTACGACGTTAACACCAAAAGTTCTTAAGAAAAGAAGTGCACTATAGAAATGGCAAGAATGGGACATAATTGTAAATTGTCCTACGAAGCAATGAAAAATTACTAGGAAATAAATGGCTACATGTAAAAATAGCGTAATACTTACCCATATATCGCCGCATGACATGAGATTCCTTTTAGACACACACAAGTTGATGTTATGAATCCTCGGAGTTAGTGTGCACACTTGGTCGCTTTTGTGAAACTTTCCATTTATACGGCAGCAAATGACGGCGTTTGTTTGGATGCCCATGAGCCAGAACAATTGACGTTCATGACGAACCACCAGCTTTGTATAAATCGTGGATATCGACCCATGGGACTTCTGTAAATATTTGGCCATACAATACTATATTAGAATTACATATAATACAGATAGTCCAAAATGAAGCCGCAGAGGGATTAATTCCATCGATGCCTTTGCCTTGAAGCGTTCTTTATTTCGGTAGCCTACAAAACGTAATACGTATAATGACAGCGACTAGAAATATTTGTCGGATATGACCGAGGCCGTTTTATAGAAATCTATAATGCGGTCAAATGAGCAAATTTCATTTTACCTGAAAAGTCAAACAAAATTTAGATGATAGCAAGAGTCTAATTCGACCTTTTAAAAATGTTTTGTTTGTCGGGTATCTGGGCGTTTTGCGTTTCCATCTTTTTTTTTTTTTAATTTTTCATCTTTTTTGAAAAGTGTTTTTTTTTTTTTTTTTTTTTTTTTTTTTTGGGGGGGGGCTTTGAAGGGGGTTTGAGAAGGGGGGGGCTTGAGGGGTTGTAGAAACGTTCCCTTTAGTTTGCGGGGCTCACATTCTTTTGTATAGATCTAAGGTTGGCAAAGGCCTTATTCTTATCTCCATAGAAATATTTAACTTTTGTCCCCTCACTCGACAAACTGTTAAAAACTAGCTATGCTGATTTTCATGAAGAGAAACATTAATTAGACAAGTGTTAAAAGTAGCAGTGCGAAAAAAGAATTAACCAATTTTATTATTACTAAAATACGAGATCAGGTTATGTCAGAGGAGTTAAGATTGGTAGCCTACATTGCTGAGTCTTCCTGAGAGAGAAGAAAAATAAACACTGACAACTTGACAAGCAAAAGGCAGACAATGACATGTAACAATCATAGGCATGAGTATCACGTTAAAATTTCAGCTGACATCTTTTATTTCGGCACTTTGGGCAAGGGTTTGTAGGTCTGTCATGGACAAATCGACCCGAACTTTGAACCAATCAAATAAAAGGTGGTCATTCGCTTACATTGCTATTCATTGCCGACAATATATTGCAATAGATTATAATATTTACCCAAAAAGTGTACTAAGTGAAATTTTATCACTATTACACAGTTATTTTAGAATTTTTAATATTTTTTTGTAATTCAAAAAACCATAATATAAGTCGCTTATTTTTAGAAGGCTTAAGCGGTATTATGACCTAATTAGATATCAACATGGCGGCATGTGTGGCGAGTCAAAATTTCGTTGTGGCTATTTGTAATGACAGTTTTTTAATTGCGAAAAAAGGGTAAGTTTTATAGAGTGCAGGGATAGCATTGAGTGTTGTTTGTACCTACAACCCACTTTCATTTTGATGGGACACTGTGTTTGCACGTGATCCCCAAATATATGAAGCCGGTCCCCCCGTTTTGATCGTTAAGGACAGCAAAAGTAAATCAACACGTGGTGATGTTATCATCGCTGTTTATCGATCTCCTTGTTAATCGATAGTTTTTATCAATGAAGAAAACGTTGGGGAATCCCATTGTATCGGCATTTATTGCTGCATTATTAATAACGCCAGTTTGACTGTAAATCACTGCAACCAGCTAAATAGTTCTTCAATATGATTAGCGTGGATGGTCGATGCACCATGCTGGATATCTTACCGTAGTCAAAATTTAAGTCAATTTTCGGTCAATAAACAACCTGTTTTGTACTGAGAAGTAAGGCATTCCATTTCTAGTTATTGGTTTGAAGTTGCAAGCAATACTTAGAAGGCTTAGTCAGCGGGTCGGGTATTTCCTAGGAAATTTATCCTTGGTGCAGGTATAGTGAGTCTTTGTGCATAGCCTATCACGTTGTTAACTGTTGATACACAGAGAATCATGCTTGTCAGCTAATTTAAAGGTATTCTGATGTATCTTTAACATAAAATAAGCAGTTCTTTAATCACAATGCTTTGGTTTTGCCTGTCATTTGTAATTAATACACTGAGACTGTGCCATATTATATTATATTATATTATATTATAGTATATTTTATTCAAGACAAGAGTATGTTGGTGGTATCAATTCTACGTAATAAAACTGGACCAAAACTTGTAATTTCCCTTTAATTTATAACAAGACATGATCCAGTCAAAATAATTGAACCAGTGGTATAAAATTGGAGTAAAAACAAGTTTGTGGCAATGCCTGAAAATGAGACAAACATTTAATTTGTATATACTGTTCACTAAGGTAGGACACTCTTAATTTTGATGGAATATTTGAAATACCGTATTAAGTACATAAATGTCTGGAAAATGATAACATTAGGGTATATTAAACTACAGGTTTATTCATTGGCATAATATTATACTTTAAGCTTTCAAACTGGAGGCTGGTTATTAAATATGTATGGTCAGGTCTTTTGATAAGAAGGCATCAGCATCGTATTTCCTGGCAAATTCTTCTAGAAGGTAGTGTTTTACCTAAATCAGATGTTTATTGCGGAATATTAGTGTGTAGTCACTTCAATTGCCTGCCCAGTTGAATCTCTTAGATATGTTTATAATCAAATTATTCTTTGCTATATACATAATTGTGAGAAGTTATCTGTATTGATGTGTTGTATGTCAGTGCTTTTTAACTGTCATGAATTTATTTGCCAGAAAACTGAAAGAATATTGCCTCAATAAAGATCTGTTTGCACCCTGGACCATTTTCATTGAAGATAAGGCAATCCATCTCTTCAGGTCAACTTATGAACCCTAAGTCACTGTAGACAGCAGATGCAATCCCTCCATTTTGCCATCCTCTGCCATATCTGTAATGTCTGGGGTAGCGCTAACACTCGCCAATTTAGCCAAATGCTAAAACTGGCCTTAATTGGCTAAAGTAAATGGCCTTGATTTGGCATGTTTTAGTCAAATTATAACCATTTTGATAACAAATTGACAAAAAAGTGGTGATTTGGCTAAGCGAAAAAAATTGCTAGCACTACCCCAGAATGTGCATAGCTGGTCACCAGTGTTTTTGTATACCTGGATACTGGAATCATGATCAGATATGAACTTTTTTTATAGATAGAATGATAAATAGTAGCTTGAGGTCCATGTATACATATTCATTTCTCTATATTAGGATGGGAAAGCTACTCAATTGAAAGTTTTTTTTTCCAATTATTTTCCTTGGCAAAGTTTTTCTCCAGGCCCAGGTGGAGGGGGGTGAGATTGCTCTGGGTTAAATTTGATAAATTTCATGGTAAAAGATCCACTTTTTTTAGAAAAAGAAATTGCTGGTGAGGGACCTGTTCTCTTTTGATGATGAGCAGAGTTCGGGGTGTTAATACCAAAAGTTAGGCTGTATTCCCAGAGCTTTTAGATCGATCTATCACCGCGGGGAGTCTCACTAGACTACTGTCAGATAATCCGGCTTAAATGTCCGTCCCGCCTACTACAAGCTGTAAGGGGGTAATTAACTCTCGTATCCACCCCGCTGACAGCTGTTTAACGTGAACCCCCAGGGAGTTAGGTCGATCTAAAGTAGATCGATCTAATTTCTGGAAATGGGGTCTTAGTCACTTGCTATGTCCAACAGTGGGCAAGAGAACAGAAGGATCATATTTACTCGCCGTGGTGAGCTAAACTTAATCACACTTCACTCGCTAAAATCCTTTAGACTAATGCATTAAGGGATTTTCTTTAGATTAATACATTTGAAGCTTCTCATTTAAGTTTTTTCTTAACAGTTTGATTTATATGTGAGAGTGCTATAAAACTAGACACCAATATGCTGGTGAACCAGGTCAGTTATTGTCGTTTGAAATAAAGTGGCAAGCCAAGAAAATATCTGAAATGTAAACTTTTCAAGGTTTGAAGACCAACCACTGGAAACAGGAAAATGCACTAAGAAACTGGGGTGAAAAGTTCATTGGCCTTGTAAAGAAAGTTCTCCTTCTTCTTACATAATATAAATCAATTATGTGCCTAACTAGACAGAAATCATAAATGGTTGCCAAAAAATTGAGGAGCAGGCATGTATTTCTGTGGGTTTTGCCACGCCCCTTCTAACATTTGCTGACAAGCTTAAGACCACTAATATGAAGAGGATAATAAGTTTGTATCTTTTATTGATCATACATTTAAAATTGATTTGCATCAAAGATGCCAAAAGGTACTGCTTTTGAAAATGAATATATATTTTTATGATTTTTCACTTCTTTGTTGTTTTCAAAGCATGAAATGTACCAATATCTTTCACAGGATATTTTAACTGTACAGAATTATTTCTATGACAAATAAAATGGATGTATAGTATACTGTTGTCACAGCTGAATTCTTCCCATATTTCATTACTCATAAAAAATGATTGAGCCTACATATAACCCTAGAAAATGTTTGTTTTGTTGCTCCTGTTTCCTCATATTTCATCAGCCTTTTATATTCATGTAAAAAAAGCCTTTGTAATGTCCTTGTATCAGACCCACTGTTAAGTTGTCATTGTGTAAGTGGCAAATTTAGAATGCTGTATAAGACAGCATCAGTACTAGTAATTTTTAACCAAATGTTTATTCATCTGAAAAGAAATTATCCCAAGAGCATTATTTACTGGGGTCACATCAAATAGCAAATATGTGAAGTAAAATCAGGTGGACTAAGTGAGTGGTAAAGCATTTTGGAAGTGTTTTTATGAATTACATCAAAGCATACATTATCGACTTTGGTGACTGAAAATGTTTATCTGAAATATGAAAGCAAATAGCGTGTTTGATGTACTGAAATGATATATATGAGTATCAAGAACACTAGTAATTTATGTGGTAACATGTGGGTGTGTGTGTCTCTGTGAGACCGTATACACATCCACATGCTCATAAAAGCCGTCCTCTGGGTCTTTTGGAAGACGGTCACAATTTTAAAGTTTACATTGATGGGCATCTAACTTTTCCTGTCAGAAGACAAGTCAAAAATGGATGATAGATCAACAAAGATAATTTGGAAGACTAACAGAAAATATCGCTGGATCTGCCCCTGTGTAACTTCCCTCAGAACCTAGGGACACACCTAGTACTTTACCAAATGTGACATGAGGAAACATTTTACAGGGAAATTTAATTGTCTGGAGATTGGGGGATAATGAGGAACAGCCAGATAATCCTCTTATTTGCCTTAACAACCATTACAATGTTTTCTGTGTGCATGTTGATAATTCTGAATATCTAATCGTCATGCCTTCATAAATGCAATATTAATAGGGTAAATTAATGCTTTGTATTATTTCTCTTAATTGGTTTTCTTTCTCTTTTGAATATCTTTTATTGAGTGCTTTAGGGATGCATGATGTTTTAAATGTAATGGCCACACGCCTCTCATTAAGCTTCATGCATTCAAATGTATATATATATTCATAAATTAACATACTAGTAAGACAGTACTGTCTCTTATGTGCTACCATTGTGAATATAGAAGATATACTAAATACCTACACTAAACAACATTCAGTGAAATATAAAAGATTAAAAGCTTGAAAAGATAATAAGTGAGGAAAAAAATAACAAAAAGTTCCACTTAAAGTACTGTTATGCCATTTATTTAATTTTTGTCAAAAGAAAAAATATAACGATTTGGTAAGTGTTTGATATATTAATAGATTGTATTGTTTATCAGAACCCTTGGCAAAGTCTGAAAAACTGCATGAAATTGTGGACTCAGAATACATGATGCATTAACCTTCATCTCGGTAATATGTCATTGACAACATTAGGACATCAGTTGGAGAATTTAGGGGGACACATAGGTTTTACGGATGAGTCAAATGGGAGCTATCCATTATACCATCGCTGCTGTTTCTATCTGGAGTGGAGATGGCAAGTTGTTCCCCAAATGCAATTTTGACTCTCTAATGAAGTTTTGCTGATATATTAGGCTTAATTACTTTTTTTCCTTTGCACACTTGTACTTCTCACAACCTGAGGCACATTTATCATGCTTGGGTTAGAGGTTATCACCTTTGTGGAAATCCTTCCAAGAAAACTACTCAAAGAAATGAGTCTGGTAAGGGAAAAGCTGAGGAAATGGCCATTAAGTAAGAATCAGGCAAAGGCAGTTTTAAAATAGAATATTTTCAGATATGGTGAATGTACCATGGAAGTTGTTTAGATACTTGATAGAAAATGGTAACCACTGCTAAGTCGAATCACAGGGTTATCTGTCGATGTAGCCTGTGTTAATGTTGATCACTCTGTACACATATCAGCCCCCCTCTTTAAGTGTAACTTACTGTGGTTTTTGTAACCACATTATTTGATAGTAGCTCAAGATATTTTCCAGGTAAAAGCAACTTTGATAGCTATGATTAGATGTTTTCAAATTGAAAAGTAACAGTTGTCTGTGAGTTAAAACTGAACATTATGATTGTACTCATATACCTAAGAAAAAAGATTCTTTGTCAACCATTCCCCACTACTGTGGGTGTTTAATCAAAATGATTAAATATGACAAGCTAAGGATATTTCCACCAAGGCATAAAAAAGCTTTTAAGTGGAAATGATTTGGAATTGTACAAAGTAAAGACACATTACATAAAACAGTGTCTTTGTATTCTTACTGAATAGAAACCCCTGCCCATAAAACATTAAAACACAGTTTTCTTCAGGTTATTGTCTTAGGTTGAATGAGTCTTGTTTTTAATTGTTCTCTAGAAATTATGTTGTAAGCAGTATAGATTGGGTACACTAAAAGTGTCATTAGTTGCTATACCTTTCTCATCCCTGATATTTTTCCTCGATAAACAAACTGTTAATTATAGTCTTCAAATTGCCTTGGGATATTTTTGAATGATGGTTTTATTGTCATGTCATCCTAGTTATATATTTGTGTTTTTCTAGGTGTTCCACTATTGAGGTGTTTACCTGTGAAAGGGAGAGCAAGCAGGAAACTGAGACCCCATTGAATCCAGAGACTGGAGATGGGTGAGTATGGTTATCCTGTGACAATGTATGGCCGTTTAACAATGTCAACAGACCGTTTTATGGAGGACTTGATGGGAAAGCGTGGAAGTGCGTCATTAACTTGCAACTGAACCACTCGCCTTGTTGACTTTACAGCTTGGTGTCTGCAAAAAGACTATTGAAATTGTAGTCTAACTTTAAATCATTCACGTGTTAGCTTAAGTTCATTATATTGTAATTTGGTTCTATTTTGTCTGATTTTTCACAGGCCACATTTAACTTTTATTGATTAGTATTTACTCGTCTTAAATACCCTTTTCTTCCAGCTTCAATTTATCCAAGATTCCCTTTCAATCAATAAATTGTAAATGTTTCACCGGGACACACGTCTCATCAGCGAAGAGGAAACTGCTCAAACCTCCTCATTAGGGCTCTTGAAAAGGTGTTTCATTGGTAATGGACTGCGGCTGATGGGAGGGGGGAAGGAAAACACAGGGAGAGCTGATCATGTGAAAGTGAACCCATTTCGCACAAGTACGAAGGGAAACCAACTCCTTTTTTGGCGAGATTAAACTAAAACATCAGAAATGTCAACCAAGTTCTTTCATTAATTTTGTCTAGATAGACAATAAAAGTTTTATTTACTCTTGGAGCTGAGGTTGCTGAGATGGGAATATGAAATGGCATTGTCTCATGTTTAGTTGTAATTTATTGAAAGGCTGCGTATGTTGAAGAGTGATATTGCTCTTGTGTTGTACAATGAAGGTTGGGGCCATAACATTATGAATTATTTCTGCAATTTGTTTTGCCAGCTTTTGACGTGTGTTAGAGCCTTTTTATTATTAAAATGGTGTTCAAAACATTCTATTCAAAGAATTTCTATTAAATTATTTGCTGTATGTAACCATAAGTATTATTAGAACTGTTATCCAACTTGTTGTATTTTTTAAAAGAAAAAAGATTTTTTGTATACAGCATTTGATATTTTGAGAGGCAGAATTATTTGAGTCAAGAGGATTTGTCATCATATTACATTGCGGGCTTCTCTTAGCTAGTAGACTTGACAGTAAGCATGTCATAAAAATGACAACCTATCTAAGTCAATTTGATTCCATATCAATTTGATATTGTCCATGATTAATTTTGCCGCTTTGGAGGAGACGGAAGCTCTTTGTAAAAATTCTGTGGTATATTCTGAATAATTTAGATGACTTAGATAATGTACTAAATTTATTTCAGTTTGTTCATACAGACATTAAAAAGGAGGCCTCTTTGTCACAAACGTTTGTATTTGAAAGTAAGACTGGGTGATAACATGGAACTGAGGTAAATTTAAGCAAATGAGGATGTGATGGGCCTCCATCTGGCGACGCTGCTTAACTCAGAAAACATCAGTGCCACATTTTTCCACAACACTGTCTGACAAGATAGAATGCTTGATTAAACAAGTTTGTGTAAAGCTGCCTAAATACATGACGAAAATATGACCATTATAGATATAGACTTGCATGTGATTGGCTCTCCTGGGACCACTCACCTAATTTGGACGGTTATTAATTGCCGAAGGACATGATTTACTTGTTTCACTCCTAATCATCTCTCTGAGTTTATTGCAATAGGCACATATTTGTGTGTGTTTAATACATATTTTGCAGAAGGTTATTAGTAATTACAGTTCAGAACTCACCTTTTAATAAAAAAAAACTGGCTGACTTTGTACCAGCCTGGACATCAGTAAGGGACTAAAAAACTAAATCAGCCAATTTTACTGATGGACGAAATGCATTAATATGGAAAAAAGTAGGACTAAATATAGGACTGCATTTGGCAAATGTCTTAAATGCTTTACATGTAAACTAGTGCAACCACGCCACCAATGGGGAAGAGAACTGAATTTACCCCCTCTAATTTGACCAAATTGCTTTCAAACTCGGCCATTGGTGAGCTTGCTCCTCGGAGTTCATCCTCTCTCAAATCTCATTAACGCAATCAGCAAGAACATCTGCATGAATACAAGCCTTTCTCAGACTGCTTATCATTGAGTTGCATCTTAAAGCTTTTCATTCGGAAAGAGGAGCGTTTAATACTTTTCCTGACAGAGAAATCCCTTTGGAGATTCACTTGTTTAAGATACTAGGGCTTAGTTAACTAACAGAAGCTCTCTCAGATCACATGACATTTTCTCGGAAAAAAGCAGACAGGATGTTTGTATTACTCTTTATGAAAACCAAGCAATAAGAAAAATAAGAATGTGAAAAAAACAAGAATGTGTGAATGTACCATTCTTAGGCACTTTGATGAAGTCTCTCTCATTATTCCAACACTTTGTTGATGTTGAAAGTACAACACTAATTGTTTTGTGGAGTTTCTATCCCCCCCTTGCACCTGTCTAGCTAAACCTACACCATATCTATCAAAAACTGGGATGCAAGCGATAAATTAAAGTGTCTGTATTGTAAGTTGTGGTTCATTACCACAATATGGTGTTGATATTATAAATTTATGTAATTATGTAATGATGTGCTATGCCAGTTCATCCATAACAAAAGAGAGAGAGAAAAATGTTACATTTATCTATTTGTTTTCAATTTAAAAACAACCATTGAATATGTATCATTTTGCTTTTGCAAGGATAAATATTTTATGTCATTTGCAAGATTAAATCCCTTGTTTTTATTCTTAGGGATGCCATTCAAGATGGAAAAGAAAAAATCCTCACTCATGCTCTGTCACACAATGACAAATATTATGCAATTTGTGACGATTTCAAAAAACTCCGTTTATACGCAACCCATCCAGAGTGGAAAAAAATAAGTTCCAGGTGAGTTTATCCTTACAAAGAAAACAGAAGCACCATTTTGTATGTGCACAATTTGCAGGTGGGGGTTTGATCTATACCAAAGGGATAAAAGCCATCGTAGGTGGGCATTAATTTGTTAGGGTGGGAAGAGGAGAGTAGATTCCAGTTGTTTCAGTCTTTTCAGTAACTATGTATTGTGCTGTGTTATCATAAAAGCAATAAGTCGACATTCCTTCAAAAGTTCACCTGGTTCTAATCCAGACATGCAAGCCAGTCATCCTGGGCCAGTGCATTCCCTCTCAGTACCGATTGTTACCCATGTGTGCTGTGAAAAAAGGTCAGATGTTACCCATCTGATGATGTCTTTTCTGCTATTTCTATATCTAAGGTGTTCAGCTTCATCGAGTTTTGGCGGACATGTAATTTTGTAATTAATACAGATAGAATTATTGGACCAAAAAGTGCTACATGATCATTGTACATTGCAATTCGTAATTATGATAAGCAGTAGTCATTTCATTACATTTTGCTTTCTGAATTTGCCAAGCTATTTCTCCATGATAATTATTATCCCCCAATTGATGAGAATTCTTTTTGCATTTCAAATTAAGAAATACCAATTCATTTCCAATGTTTGGGGCAGTCTTTTTTTCTGCCTTTACACCTCAAGGAAAGAATGAATATTTTTGCAATTCTAAAAGGGAAAAACAAATATTATCATTGTATATATTTTTGGTGTTAATGACTTAAGTGTATCAAATGGGCAGATATTTTTTGCAAGATTTAGATTTAGACAAATACTTTTTATGCAGGTCTTCCCATTTGAATTAAGAACAACCCTAGTGAATTAAAAAATTCTAATAGATGCATAATAGAAGGAGTGCAGTTCTGAAGAAATTTATAGCATAATTTGTATTTTGTTTTACAATATGGAGAATTAACCCTAAAGAGAGTTTAAAAAAAGCAGGGATGAATTGAGAGAAAGAAAGAATGAAAGAAAGAAAGCAGAATCAAGTTGCTTGTAGGGTATATCATTGATTATGTGTATTGGGAAATTAATACTTGATACAAAGAGATCTCAAACAGTCAAGAAATTTTTCTACCTTCATTGAGCCACCATTCAAATTTATCAGAACCTTCTCTCCACCAAACACCCCAGAGACTTTCTTAGTCATTTTGGACCTAAAAGTGACCCATTCCCTGAACCCCAACCACATCCCCTACCCTATCCCCCCCAGGCTTATTTAAATCTTTAGGTACTATAATGGCCAGAACTTTTACTAGAAAGAAGTCTTGCTGAAAGACCTGTTTGTCAGTGCAGGCAAAATGACAGAATATCCACTGATTGGTTTGATTTGGTACCAACCAAAAGATCACATGACAATTGCATTTTTTATTTTTCTTTTCCACTCTTTCTAAAGATCTGTAGCAAGAAGAGCTACTGCCATAGTGTTTACCCATGACCTGTCCCAAGTCCTTGTAGCTGACAAGTCAGGAGATGTGTACAGCTTTTCCCTCACAGACCTGAACAAACCAGGAGAGCTTCTGTGTGGTCATTTGTCCATGCTGCTGGACATGGTCAGTATATTACCTAGAGTGTGTACTTGATTTATTTGTTTATTGTATTACTTGTATAATGAATACTGTCATGTTACAAACAACATCATCATCATCATCATTATTATTATTATTATTATTATTATTATTATTATTATTATTATTGCTTATATGCAAATCTCTGCTTGTAGTACAATCAATGTTAGCAATCAACAAGCAATGCAGAACACCAGTATGGGATAACAGTTGACACATTAATTGGAGTGAAAATCACCTCTTTCTGAGACTGACCATCATTAATTTTCACCAGTGGTCTGCAAATGGAAATAATTGTGTAAAGTGAATTAGTAGAAAATGGTGCTTTGTTTTGTATTTGATTAGTGCTAGAGATATGAGGTTATTGTTATTTATCATCTTGGGACAGATTGAGCTTCAATAAGAAGAGAAACAATGTATTTTGTTTAAAAAAAAAAACATCAGATGTCTTTTTCTACATTTTATGATAATTGGCAGCATACATAATACATCAATAGAACATCAGTTCGATTTTGTTTGTTTTAAATATATCAATATATAATGACCCTCTTTTTTTCTTCTTCTTTGAGTATGAAGTTGCGCCCCTTTTCCCCATACACTAAAAGTAGACTGTGAGCTGACACACGAGTGATACTCTCAGCCCACACAACACACACACCCCTCAAATAGCGACAAAGGATATACACAATTCCTACTTCCTCCACACTAATGAGTCTATACAAAACAACACACTTAGCTTGATAATTATCAGATTGCTTCGTCATTACATAGTGTGTAGGGTACTTTTGGTATAATCTTCTTATATGACTTTTCTTATTGGTTGTAGGCAATTACATCCAATGGCAGATACATCATCACAGCAGACAGAGATGAGAAAATACGAGTTGGTCATTACCCAAATGCTTACAACATTGCAGGATTCTGCCTTGGGCACGAGGAGTAAGACATTTTCAAATGAAATTGTACTAATATCCAGTGACATTATTCAATTCTGCTACCATTGTCATAAGTAATGAAGCGTATGATATGTGAAGTGGTATATTTCATGTGAAGGGCTCAGTGTTATTAGTGGAATTTGAATCTGTAATGAGGTCTTAAATATTATATGACCTTGCGAAAGAATAATAGCTGTGCCAGTGTTGAACTGTACTCTATGTATATGAGTCGAATATTGCAGAGGTGTTGGGAGAATTCAGTTTTTTTTTTAATACATGTTCATATGGCACAATTTAAACAGTATGAAGTACTTCAAAAGTACAGGGTGATTTTTGTGTTAAAAAGCTAATACTGTGACTGAGAACGAATACATGCCATCTTTATAACATAAACCAAGTAAAATATAATGTTAATGAAATATGAAATTAAGATCTCAAATGGAGATTGATAATGTTGGTAGATGGTGTCAACTTATGAAATTAAAAGATGTGAAATGTCTTTAGATATAGTATTCCGACGGAATTAATGAGATTAATTTAATACTGGGTATTATGGGAAAGGTATTGAAAACATGATCAAAATATATTATAGTATTTCATGCCAATAATTTACCCCTTTGCCTTTGATATTTTTCAAAACTTCTTGTGATTATAATTTCATTTGTGAAATTTCATGGATGTTGTCTGTTTGTAAATCTCTAATCAAACAATTTGAACAAGTAATCTTAGATGTAATAGAATACAATGCAATTTGGCTCTGCTCCAATTAAGAATGATGAAAAACAGAGCTACAAAACAGCTGTAATTTGCATACATATTATGAAAATACCTTGAAATAAATAAGCATGATTATTCTCTATTTGTAAATCATGTTTAATCATGAGAATATGGGTAAAGTTATTTAGTATTATATACCATTTAACAGATATTAAAATAATGTTAGCATTGAAGAATACAGAGGACCCATAATACTCATTACTTAAATGGGAAAGTCAAGTGCACTTTCCTTTACCTCTGCAACTCTCAGTCACTTCACCCATTAAGAGTAAAGGATGAAAAGCAATATCCTGGTAGGCTTTTGGGTTCAGAAAGCATTCCTCACCAAATAATCCTCTGGGATTCAGATGCATGTTAAACCAATAAAGAACACATTTACTTAATCAGAAATCTGATACAATTGCATTATTTGAAGAATTATTGCAAGTTTTTCTTCAAATTTTGTCTTCCAGGTTTGTGAGCAAATTGTTGATCCTTAAAGATGACATTCTTGTATCTGGAGCAGGGGTGAGTCATTTGATAATGTGCAGTAATAGATTGGTAATATGTGGCAGTTACCATTTGTTCATCGACTAGAAATTTTGACAGTCAGCAGAATCTAATATGTTAAGCTTGACTTAACATGTAAGTGCATAGAGCATTTTTCTTCTTTTTTTTCCTAGTGAAAATTTAGTTGCATCTGTAGTTTTATTTATAGTCAAAGGTGACCTTTGTTAAACTAGTATTTACATGAGAAATAATTTGTTAATTTCTGACTATATGTACTACCCAGTAGATTATAATTCTAAAAAATGCTTTACTGGAAAAGTATTGCTGAATTGTGGCTTTCTCCCACAATGGACTTGGTTTTATTGAGTTAACTTATTGATTGGATTGGCTTTATCTGTCAGTATGGTCATATAATTGATTTTATGAGTTGTTTTGGTGATTAAAATTTATTTAAACCCTACCCTTCCAAAATGCATTTGGCAAAATGCATTTGTAATTTTTTTTCAGTTTTCTATAGGATTCATAAACTCTCTCTCTCTCTCTCTCTCTCTCTCTCTTCATTTCTTTTCATGCTTCAAAGTCTTACATGGCTCATAGCAGTTCCTCTCATTCTAGATATAACCTCACTCATAAAAATTTCTCAGATTCTGAAATTGATCTATTTATCTTCAAGGATGGCACTGTGCGGTTTTGGAATTTGGAAACATTTCAAGAACTTTACTGTCTTGACTGTGCCCAAGATCTGCCCTCAGAAATGCATTCCTCAGAAAACACACAAGTTGCTGTCAAAGCTATGCAGTTCTTTACAAAATATGACATACTTGCTGTTGCTGCAGATAGGTGAGTTTGTGTTAATTGATATGCAAGGTCAGGAAAGGGAGACTTCATGGCGTGGTGATTTTGAAAAGCAGAAGTAGTTTCTAAGAAATGGAGCCTTCGTGTGTCAATATTAAAACTGTCTCAGAAGCGGTGGTGTAGGTGCCAAAGCTCAGTTTTCTGTATGTGGGATGACAGTGATATTTTTAACCTTTTGACATCTAGATTTATACCTGCTAAACTGATCTGGAGACAGTAGGTGGATGTAATTCTTCTAAAATGGAATATCCACTGCATAAACAAAAATTTCAACAGATGGAAAATAATTAATTGGAACATAATTGTCTTGACATTTTTTCTTTGGCATTTAGTTTGAATGTCTTTCTCCCATTCTAAATCCTAATTATCATTTATTCATTTCTTCATGAAGAAGAAACAAATCTCTTGATGTCTCTAAGTTTCTTAAGTCTTTGCCTAAAGCTTTATCCCAGGATATTCGTCCTTGAATTCAGATGCAGCACCTGAAAAGCCTCAGTAGCCACACGTTCACTTTGAAAATCTTATTTTCCTTGAGCCCACCGAAGATAAATCGTCCAGTAAAGGTCAGGCTGGAAAGTGACAATGTTGTGGATACATTTAAGTGTATCAGTTGTTTTGAAATTGCACTGGTCCATTCCTTTTCTTTGTCAGAAGATAAATCACTGTGAAAGTTCAATCTTTGAAGGTGTTCACTGTTGTGCTAGCCTTGCTGCTTCCTCACACTGAGAACCAAGTCATTAAGTGTGATGGAGAATAATGGTTACAAAGGGCCAGACCTGCAGTAAGTAGACATTGATACAGAGCAGGGGACAAAGCCTCGTGTTACAGCAAACATGCTGTGAGATGCCGGACCTTGAGTGGGAAACTCATCAGACCAGTTACCGCAATGAATCTTGAGAAAAGAATAATAAGCTCAAATTTTTTCTCTAATTGAAACATTCATTTCCTGGTATAGGTCACTAAGCTACAAAAGAAAGAACATTAATAGCCTGTTCTCAAGTGTTGACATTGGCAAATCTTTCTAAAGATTTTATTAATATTATGGTGCAATTATAAGCCCAGCATACATATTCTGTTCTGGACATTATGACATTGTGTTTTCTCTCTCCTCCTCCTTTTCCTCCTCCCACCAAAAAGAAAAAAATTAATTGAGTCATAATATAATATTGTGTTTAAAAATGTTACATTCATAATTGAATAATCAAATCTTATTTTAAAATGTTATTTAGGACTAAAAACATTATATGAAGATCTCTCAATCGATTGTCATTGAGATCAACCCATTCATGTATTTTACAGGTTGTTTTTTTGTCAATATTTTCAAACAAACAGATGATTATATATAATGTGATTAACTGGGGAAGTATTTCCTGGCCAATTTTATTATCCAAGCATTTTTGCCATCCCATCCCGCTTTACCGAATTGTTTGTTGTGATGAATAAAATATATCATTTTGTAATTTGATCTCAATGTCAGGCTGTCATTTCAACTTTGTGTATATATAATGCATGATGTTTGAACAGCAAGTATTCAGACACTTTTTTTTAGCTCACCTCCCAGGTGTAAATTACCATTTGCGGAAAAAAAGCATCTGAAAAAAAAGGGAAAAAAAGCTGTTATCCACATTTTATCCTAGTATAATGCACCAATGCAATGTGTAGTGTACAAGTACAGAATAAAAGCCAGGGAGGTTTTTCAAATGCTTAGTTGTGTGCTTGGAAGTAGTTTGTATTGTGTTGTATGATGAATCACACAGATTACAATGGCTATCACTTATGGCAGAGCTGGTAGACTGTCATTAATAGGCGGTCACTCTCTGAGTACCTGAGTAATCCATTACCTTAAGTGACGTCTTTGGACAATGACATTGGAGTGACCAGGGGTCAAGGGGGCATGTGGAATTAACATGTCTTAATTGTCACCTGAGTTAAATAGCCATCATGAGAAAACACTTTGAGTTTATTTTGCCTGTAAACTTTTCAAGTGGACAATAGGCAAGGCCATTAAACAATGCTATTGACTGTTTATTATGTTTCCTAGTTATTTCTATAGCAGAAGATCTGCTGGAGCATTTAGGTTTCGTTTTGACAGGAAATACAGAACATCTGTTTTGGGCATATGGTCTAAAATTGAAGGTGATTTGATCAGTTCATGATGTTAACATTAAATACATTTTAGGTCACCTATACACTGATAGTCAGGTCCTTTGTGGTACTAAAGAGAAATTACTTAATTATCAAATTACAAATCATAATGTTTGTATTTGCATTTATGGAAGAACTGTCAATGTGAAATTATATCATAAAAAATAACGTGTGTGGTTAAAAAGGCATGGGCATTGTCATCCCCACCTGTCTTTCATTTCTCTGTCCTATTTTAGCCTCCTTCAATGTCACACCTCTGTAGCAATGATCTTTTAAGAGTTATCCCTTTACATATCTCAGATCATCACTGACATACCTGCTTAATCTTTCTCAAGCTTTGCCAAAGAGCACTGTAGGTGACTTGAAGAACAGCATTTGCATCATTGTGGTTTTTAATGATGCAAATTCCAGTCGTTTCACGGGAAAAATAATGAGAGAGATTCGCAGTTATAGAATATGATTTAGTGCCATGTGTATATCTCTCCAATTATCAGAAGAATGTGTCTGTATAATGTAAGCCTCTCAAGTGGCCTTGGATGAAACCTCAATTAATTCCAGGAAAACGGAACTTCAGTGCTATCATCTTTTTTTAAATGTTGGTGTTTAAATGAAACCGCTTATCTGTTGATATCAGATTACAAAAATGAAATGAAATGAAATGAAATGAAAGGCAAATTTGACACTATATGTTGGCATTATTCTAATTCTTATATGAGAATATAAACAACAGTGGTTTATTTTTTGAAAATATTCTTAGATGTTATTTTCAGTTCTGTTGGTTCATTTCAGCTATCCTGTGATCCTGTTCTACAAAGTAGTGTGGAGTGCTGGAAATGTGGTAGTTGAGAAAGTGAACACAATGCGGCTGTCACAACCACCATGGGACATGCAGCTTCAAGGTGATATCTTGTGGGTTTTACAACCAGTGGAAGGAGATACAATAGTTCCATACTCCGTCTCCTACAAACAAGAAGATTTTCAGGTTGAAAAGGTAATTTAACTCTTATTAGAATGAGACAATTTCTGTAGCTTGCAGTGTGCATTGTTGTTTCCTCTATTCTGAGTGAGATGTAAAGCCTTTCTAACTTGATGATATGGGTCCTGTATGGTATGTTAACCAGTGTAGGCAGTGTTGGAGAACACTTGATGACCAATTTGCAGGTATCTTATACTGTTCAAGCCAATCCCTTTTTTTCCCTTAGAGCAATTTTCTCCTACTCACAAATCTTTTCTCAACCCATCCTTGCCCTTAGATCGGTTTTTGCACCATTTCCAATCAGATTACCTCATTCTGAAAGGATCATGATTCATTTAGACCACTTCAGTCTTCCTGACATTTTAGGTCCTTAAATGTGAGGGATTTGTTTTCTTTAAGGTTTAAATTGGGAAAGATAAGTAGCTTTGCAGGATATTAAGTCATCAAAGTATGACTTGAGGGCATCTTCAGTTATGTATAGTATACCTTTAAGTATAAGTATTGAATGTGTGCATATGAAGTCTTACATATTGGTGCTTTGTGAGAATACTAGTGTGTAAATGTAAATCCCAACTGTGGGTTTTCCAGACCCAGTGTTATAGGTGGGGGATTCAATTAAACCAAGCAGCACAAGCATTTAGATTGTGAAATATGAGCTGAGGAAACATGGCAGTTGACTTACAAGAATTTTCTTGTTAAACTCTATATAATTGACATTATCTTCAAAAAGAAGGCAAGGGAGAAAAAGTTAAGAGAATGCAATCATCAAACTTGAGTTTAAATAGTATTTTCAGTTTCATTAATATTTTATTTCACTTTTATACTTTTTTTGTAAAATTTTAAACTTAATTCCATGTTTCACATTGCAGACCTCAGATAAAAAGACAATAGAATTAGCAGAAACTGTGAATAAAAACTGGGACTTTTTCAAAGGTAATTCTACTTTTCCTTGTAAAATTGTAATCAGGTATTTATTATCAGTCTTTGCCTGCTTTTGTATTTTTACCTGCCTTATCAATAGATAAAGTGCTTTCTTTTTGTCTTCCTTCTATTTTGGGTACTACTCTGAAAATTATCCTTTTAAATTTTTTTGCATGTTGCAAGGTCATTTTCTACCTCACTCTGTCTTGCTGCTTTCCCTGCCATGTTGATCTTGAGATTTTAGTGTGCAAAAAGTTATGGCATTCTTCTGTGATATAAAATATGAATTCCTCTGAATTTGACATGGCTGTTTACTTACCCAAAGATCTTATTCATATGTCCATGACAGTCTCTGAGCCAATTAAAATTTTCTTAAAAACATCTTGTTTTCAGGATCTGTTGGACAGGAAAGTAACTTCCAGTTACTGTTTAAAGCATACAAAAACAGAAAGGACAATATGCAAGATTATTTGGAAAGAAAACGACAAAGACTGGCACAGACGCCTTTAAAAAAGGAAAAACAGTCTAGAAGAAACAAACAAAGAAGAAGGAAGGAAAAGGAGGGTGATGCTGCAGAAAAAGAAGGCAGTGAAGATGTAGAAGGAGGGACAAACTCGGACAGTATTGCAGAGCCAGAGCCTAAGATTCTGAAAGCTAGCTGACAGCTAAGAAAAAATTTCTTAAGGGTGACAGAAAGATAAACTGTTTTAAATAGTACATCTTTCTCTTACTGTTAAACACTACGTAATTGAGACACATGTATGTGTTACATGCCTGTCAAAAGCAGAACACTTCTTGAATGATTTTCTTGTTCTTTATAAATGTCACAATAATGATATATTTTGATACTGTTTATATGGTAGTTGTTTTATTACGATGCTACGTATCAGCATTGCACATTTTCCCAGCATTATATATTTTGAACCAGAGACAAATGGATAAAATGAAGTACTAAAAGAGACATTCTTGTAGAAAGCAATCCAAAGTATCACACTTGATATAAGGACTCGAAAGTGTTACCTTCCCTATGAAAATAAGGACTTAAACTTCACAGACGTCTTCAGCACTTGCCTCCTGTCATGTCGTTAAAAGAGAAAAATGTTTATAAAGCGTTCCTTCCAGCTACGGAATCCGTTTTGATAATCCATCTTGCGTACCTTGGCTTCTATTGTTGCACTTCTGAGACAACTCTAGGTAAAACAATATGGTATAAAGGCTCTGAAATTCTCACGTTATGAGATGTCAGTTCAAGTACAATAGAGATAAGTAAGACAAAGTTTTTAAAAAATCACCAACTGTGCAACTCTAGCACTTTGTATTTTCACTCCTGCGCGTTAAACTGCTTGTTTATCCGATATATAAAATGGTAAGAGCCTACTACCCCCTAACAGCGTATCCATCCTAATAGCTGGTTGCATAATATTCCTGTTGGTATTGGGGATGTGGTTGGTATTGTTGGTATTGGGGCTGTTGCTGGTACTGGGGTTGCTGGTATTGTTGCTGCTGGTAGTGTTGGTACTGATACTGCTGCTGTTGTGGCTGTGGCGAGTAACCCGGCGATGTAGGGCCTTGGTAAGCAGGGGACGCCATGTAGTTTTGAGCCCTGGAGACGGAGAACTTGACGGGACCTGTAGGTTTCATGGCCTTGGCTAATGATTGGCAAGCTCCCCTGAAAGCATTTTGTGAACCAGTTTTAAAATATAAATTGTTTTTGTATACAACAAAATATTCCTAAATACTGTGATCTATATAAAAAAAGCAGTAGACCAAAGCGTTCATTTTAGTTCTGTAAGATCTATATCTGCCCTTAACAAGTTCTTTTCGTACACCTACATTTCTCAGTATTTGCGTAACGTTCGTTATCTGTGACGTAAGTTGGGGGTGTGGGAAGGGTCTGAGCCACACTGTGTTGCCTTCATTAACTATCAGCTATCGCTAATTATAATGCACAGTTACGAAGCATGAACTAATGAATGCTTACTTTTGTAACGTTAATGAGATGGTGTTTCCGGCATTCTTAATGAGCTGTTGAGCTTGCATGTGTGTCATGTTCCTAGTGTCTTTCCCGGCGATTGAGACGATGGCATCCCCGGCATCCAATCTGGCACGGGCAGCGGGGGAGTTGATTCCAACCTAAAAAAAAGTATTAAATATAATACACATTTGATAAAAAAACTGTATTATCTGCATTACGTAGGTGAAAATGGAGCGAAAACGGTTTAGAAATGCGAGCCGTCGTAAATCAGAGCAGGAAAAATAACACCCGAGTCAATTAAAATGTCAGATTTGATTCAAGACGAACATCACCTGAAACTAGACACAACCTTAGTGCGACCTCATTTAACCTTCATCAATTTAAAGGAAAAAGGAAACGCCGTCATTATTAGGAATAGATGCGGGGGTTCATAACTGAACCGAAACCACGAGTCTGATATAGATGGGCCAGAAGATACGTCCTTCCTATTTTAATGATATTTGAGAAAAGATTCTATTTAAATGACTACCAAGTATTTTATTTATTTATTTATTTGAAATGAAATTTAACCGCATGTTTCTCTGAGATTGTTTCAAGCGAAATTGTTAGAATTGCAAATATAGGCCAAAGAGTTATGAAGGCCTGTCTCCGTACTATGTTTTCCAGCCTAGCTGCGCCCCTCCATATTAAAATGGTAAAGAGGGTATAGCGGTACTTTTTACACTTGTTGGCGGATCCAACCTTTAGAAACATTCCCATGCTTAATGATAAAAGAGGTTTGAACCTTTAATGTAGCTCACAGATCACAGTGGAAGCTTTTGATTTTTAAATTATCTAGAAACGTTTTTAGATAAATAGAAAAGGTAAAGAAAAGGCAATCGAAATCCGCTTTAATAGTGTATTTGGCAGTTATTGTTCGCTTACAATATCTTAAATGAAATATCCATTTCTTAAAGCATTCGGTTGCTATGGTGAGCCCATGTTGAACCATCGAAAATATTTATGTTCTTAGTACTGTGTGAAGATGTATGGCAGTGTTTATATAGACAACAGCGCGCTATTTATATTCAGTGCATCATTAGGAAAAAGGGTGTTTTGCAAATGCCTCAGGTATGCCGATGGCAAGTATTCCACTGGCATTTCCACGAAGGAAAATTTTCAAGTAATGTCTAAATGTATTAACCTCCTTCAGTCTGAATTTTACGATGTAATTTACCAAATTGTGTAGAAATTTGCTCCTCTACCACACTGTGATATTTGAGCCCGCTGTAGTCTTACCATAATTGGGAAACGTTATTCTTGTTAGTAAACGCTCGACCTTTGAGGCTAAAGCACTGATTACGCTGTGGTTACATTATCTAATATTTTTGTTAGAAAACACAACGTTAGCGTAAAGCACGTATTTGTGTCTTATAGGCACGGTTTATGAAAAACAGATACAACGCTCTTCTAGTGTAAATATTTACCTGTACATCATCGGGCCGACATTATTTTTTCATTAAGCGAGGTCAAACCGGAGCATCCACCAAGTGCCTTATAACTTTCACAATAAGTTTATTCAATGACAAACAACCCCGCCGAAGTGTAACATAAGAGGTATATTGCTGCAAGCTATCAACGTCTGCATGCACGTATACTATGTATATTCACATAGTGTTCAATCAACACTTTCCAGGTGCTATATACACCGATACCCTATATAAACGCCCAGAAACGCATATATTTGTCACACGGATCTTTTTGAACCTCGATGACTACATAAAGGTTAAGAACCCCCCGACTGTGGGCAAGAAAGTCGATCAGCTGTGTCTGAACACCTGGCGTTAGGTGTATCCATATCAGTTCTTAATTTGGGGCAGCCGCGCTCAAGGTAATGGCCGTGTGCTGAAGGTATTTACCCGGAATTTGCTCTTTTAAAAAATATTAACTTACTCAGCACCTTATAGACTGGCACCTCCTTGCATGTGATAATCTTGAAAACCATTTGAAGGCAAAATCGCAGGTATGGCAAGAATACTGTAAGTTAAATAATTGATGAAATAAACATTAAGTCGTATCAAAGGACAGGGAGATCTACGGGTAAAGTTCTTTTCGAAACAACACTTAACATGGAAAGGAGATAGCATTGAACCCTTTTTTCCCCATGAGCCTCGCATCACTTACCTTTTTCACCGACAGTGGAAGACGAAAATCCTTTCCGCCCTGCATACGAAATCCCCAGGGCTCATGAAAGTCATTTCGCTGCAGCTGCACTGATACCGAACTCATAGCGACTGACTTGTAGCAGTCAAAAATAATTTGGTCACTTTAAGTTGATCAGACTTCCTGGAAATCGGCAATTTCAACTCAAAAATTCAATCAAGTGACGAACTGGTAGTTTAGGATGCCGGATGCCTCAAGAACGTACTAACGCCAAGGGTGGAATCGGTATCTGCCAAAGTTCGCTGACGTATTTCCTGGAGCGGCTCTCCGCAGCCAGTCTACCGTCCAGGTAAAATTGAGCTTGTTTACCGAAAATACACCTATGACCTAATTCTGTCCATAAATACCGTGCCCAAGAAGCTCAGCTGTAATAGGTGTTAAAAGACATGTATTTGTTGGTGGGTACTTCCTAGAAATAGTTATCAAGTTCGAAATAATTTGGGAAATACAGCATTGTGTATCAATGTTGCCTTTAAGGAAACCTTTCTTTAATTCGAATTTGAATGAAAATAAAACATTTGAAATAAATAAATAAATTCAGATTGAAAAGATATTGTGATTGTTATCGACGCTTGTGCTGCATTAATATCAACAGACAAAAAAAATGAAATTCAGAGGCACAGGATATCATTTTTTAGCCACAAGAATTAATACCAAATCCAAATTGCAGGACTTTGATATGATATGATATGATAAGATATAAGTTATACCACGCTGTGAGTTATACCATGTAACATATTTAGTTTATTTATTTGTTTGGGCACTATAATTCTCGGTTTAGCTCATCTGCCTGTATACATGTATGCTTTAAGGGCAATTGCGGTCCAAAGATAATTTAATTGAGTCAAGACTGATTTTAATTGGTACTTCACCCTCATATACCAAAGCCATGCCTCAAGTTCACCTTCACCGAAAACTTGCCTTTTGTGCCTTCAGGCTTAGACCTTACATACACACAGTATATTATGCAGTGCATTATGCTTCCAAGCTTCAGGTACGATGCATAATTGTGATGTCTTTCTGTAAGTGAACTCCTTTTTTAAAAATCAAACTCTGGTACCTGGAATAACACTAGCACAAAGACCTCCATTTTGAAACCCTGTTATTGTAATGTACATTCTTGAGATCATGGAAAACTGACGTAATTATCTTTAAGTTCAACGAACCTTGTATTACCACAGTAACCAGTTTATAAGCGTTACATATGAGCAAATCATCTTGTTACACTGAGCAAACTGTCCATATTATAACGTTCATATCTTTTTTGTTTTATCTCAGTTTATAAGCTGAGCGCAACAAACCCATTTCCCAAACAACTAGTCCGTCTTTACCACTAGAACAACTAATGCATTTAGAACGTGTTTTCCTCCATTGTTTTCATTCAAATCACACTTTTTACACTTTCAGTTTCATCTTGAATAAGAACGAAGAGATTCGAGGTCCCCTTTCGTCATTCTTGTCGATCTTAGCGATTCCTTTGGCACTCTTGGCGTTTTTGGCATGACGTAGCTCTGCACCCCGTTGATATTTTTGTGAGTTTTGGGGCGCTCCCACCCCCATGCGCTGCGACTCCTGGCGGTGTATAGAGGTTTGCTCAAGTACAAGGATTCTGAGGTCCAGTCGGGGTGTATGACGTAGAACCCTCTAGGACCACTGGTGCTCTAGAAACAAATTTGATACGTTACAATAATGATTATAATAATCTATTCAAAGCAACAGTTAAACTTTTTTCTTTTTATTTATTAATTTCTCTACCAATCAGTTACGGCGCACTAGATCTGAGAATTATTTTGGCAGAATTCTGTTGGGAAGAGTGTCGTTCGAGTATCACCACCCCTTCGGTAATATTAAGACTTACACCATAAACAAAGCTCTTCTAAATAAAACACAAGCGGCGCTCTTTAGTTTTAAAATAATTCTTTGCAAGAGGAATTGTAAATAAGTTCTACTTCAATATGAAACTTACCCCGAATATTGCCGCACGATGATCCCGGGACACAGACCGACTCGTCTCCCTGGGGAATATTAGAGAACCATTGTGATACATGTATATCTATATTTGAGTATCGGAGAGTCATGGTCACATTTTAGTACAGAGACCTGCTATCTAAGCTTATGTGTCTGCATAACTAAAAAATCAGTACCCGACCAAAATAAATCCACACAATCGATGCCTGTACTTAGCACTAGGAAATATGAAAACGAAAGAGTGTAGAGAAATATGTCACTACCAAGCTAAATCATTTACAGTTTCAATCACTACATGCACCCACCACATGTTAAATTCTTCTTGTTCTCTAAATTTGAGACAGAGAACTTGACAGTATCAGAACTACTTCCTATTGCTGCAGCTTTCACTTGTTCGTTTTTTACTTGCGATTGCTTTATAAAGCGCCGCGCAGCCAATCGATTGTTTCTATAAACAATACGACGTCGATATTATCGTGTGATGGTGACTGATTATAGGCGTGCAGGTGGTCCCTGGTGACAAACCCATTACAGACAGGAGGTCAACGGTCAGAATTCTGTATTCCCTTTACTGGCCAATGTTTTATAAGATGGAAGGATGAGTTAAAATGGCATTAGCCTTTTCCCCGTAGTTAAAGGGGACTAGACTTAGCCCTTTTAATGCTGATATGTATTCTTCATGATATAGTAGATATTATTTTATAAAATATTATGGTAGTATTGGTATTAAAAAAAAACACCTGGAAGAATTGAATTACGTGCTGGCCACGAAATGAATTTTAAAGCAGGTCATATAAATAAAAATAAAATTCTGGATTTTCCTTTGATGACCATCCTCAGCGCTTGGACGAATATTTCTTTTGTCCAAGATCAGCGTTGGTAGAGACATATTTCGCTGCAAATGCTCCAGAAAACAAAGCTAACCTTTTGATAAAGATATTGCTTATCTTAAATTTCTTTATCTTTTCTTTGATAGAGCTTTCCGCATAAAATTAAGAATACCCCACCCAGCAACGACTTGACTAAATCAGTTTTAAGACCAGCCCAAAGAAGTACCCTTTGATTTCACATTGCCCGGTGTACAGAAACTGAGGGTCCATGTAACGGAATCCACCCTCCTTTAGATTCACACAAGTCAAGATAAGCGTAACGGGAGTGGATTAAAAGCTAGGACGGTGCTTATCTGTAAAAATCATTCAATCAACGGTACTGGAGCCTGTATCACTGTCAGGGCACTACCAGTAATACTCTCTCGTATATAACACCGGGATCAGCGTGGTGAATATCTTCACACGTAATCACTTACTAAGCACTGTTACTAGGGAGATACGATTTATAAATATGATTAGACATCAATCACAGATTATGTTTTTCGAATTTTCCTGTTCCAGTATTTCCCGGGTGACGTAAAAGGAGCGTTTGGGGTTCAAAATGTCATTTTCTACTCCCAGGTTTTCTCGGTTATCTAGCAACGATTTATGTAATTCTTAGGAGACGATGTAGCTATAGAAAAAGATTACTCAGTAGTATCTTCAAATTTTACTAAAAGCAGGCCCGTAACCAGCGATTTCAAAGGGGGGGGGGTCTTTTTTCTGAAAAAATGGACCTTTTACCATAAAATCCCCATGTACCTAGGTCAAATTTTACCCCGAGTGGACCTTTTTCCAGCAAAAAGGGGGGTTCTTTCGAACCCCCCGAAACCCCCCTGGCTACGGGCCTGAAAAGGCATGGTTCGAAAATATGAAATTAGGTTTGTGACACTGGAAGGGTTGTGGCAATTCTGGAAAACTTTTTTCTTCATTGCATATTCCGTAGCCATCACAGAAAATTTGTATGACTATATCTCGAAACCAGTTGAGATTCCTCCCCAAATCCAAAAACAGGTTAAAAAGCAATTAAAACTTCGGGTGGAATCCAAGTGAGTCTGGCAACTCAGCTTGTTAATATCTTATCTTCTATCTCCATAGCCATTATAGTTCCGTCTTAATCATTCACCACGTGTAAAGCATTTGCAAAGGTAAAAAAAAAAGAGACTGTGCTCTACCACGGGTCAACTATTGACCTATTCGTTTGAAAAAAGAAAGGCTTTCAACGAGATTGTATAAATTTCTTTAATTTAGATTTTACATGAATAGTTGAACGTTAGGGGACGCGCAAAATATCATGACTTTGACGAAAGTTCTTTATACGTGTCCAGAATAATAACCCGGCTATTGAGTTAATTTAGTCAACATAATTATACATTATCAGGCAAGTTTAAATCTAAAAACAAGAACAAGGTCTCTCTGTCCACCTTTGGTCCAATGAAAAACAATGGCAATGTTCTGCTTGAACAAAGGGAAAAATATTTACAATTTTTTTTATCTAAACAGTCATAATCCTCTTCCAACTACGTGTGCAGACCATGTGATTTGAGTTCTAACCGCATGAAGCCATCCCAGTCTATGGTCCTGCCCACAGACACTGTAAAGGAGGAAAGTCGCCTTAATCTGTCTCCCTAGGGCTAGAAATCAGTATCAAACGGTTTATTCCAATAGCTAATTCAACAGAACCTTACCAAAAATACACTGCGGCGTTAATACGCTCTCCGGCGTTACTCCCCGGCATTTTTGGCTTAAGAAAAGGTTTTTATTTTGTTGCTGACTGACGAGTAAGAGAGGACATCCTAAGTACAAACTGTTTCGAATTCCGTAGTAACAATTACGTAGGATGTATTGAGATCATTATCTAATGGAATAAGTTTGCATGTTCTTTTCGACAAAGACGTACACAGTAATGTAAGTAAGGTTATCGTGCTTTCCGTTGAAGACAAATGAAATACAGTGTATATCATAGAGTCATAAGTTTCAAACGACAAGATTACATAGCTTCCGAACCTGAAACGACAGGGAGACACAGTATGATGTAAACTTTGAAAGATGGGAGGATGTCCAAGTAATTTCTATCGTCCAGACCAAGAGACAAGTAGGCTCTCTACTGCCTTCTGATGCTTACCAGAAACTCCCGCCTCCCCAGCCCACTGGCTTAGCGTCTGTCCATGGCATCTTGTCCCTGTTTTCTGAAGGAACCCGACTGTCGTCTGCGCTCATACAAACCGATCAATACTCCCAAACTACTAGTTGCATTTATGATTGATATCTGTTTGTACTATGGCGGCAATTTAATGATCCATTATTGACTACATTCCAATGCTGTCGATCATATGAGTCAACGACTGAACTAACCACTAGGTAACCCCGGCTGTAGAAATACTAATATTTCATCGATTCAACGATTCATTTCACTTTTCTTTGTTGTTTATTTATCAGATGGAAAGTGATAATACATTTTGTTTAAGTGTTCGTGTTCGCGCGATTGAAATTTGGCTACATTCAATAAAAGCCCCCGCTTTGTTTAAAACAACTACTCAGGCATACAAATCGATACATGTTCGAATGTTATTGACAACTAAACCAACTGAACAAAAAAGAAATATCAAAGGTCACATCGTGATTTTCTGTGATGCAAAATATTTATGTATGGGTAAGAAAGGGCAAAAAATCAAATCAAATTTAATCTTAATAATATACAAAGCTAAAAGACCAAAATGCATAGAAAACTGTCTATTGCTTTTCTGGCCAGTGTGAACCTACGCGAGAGAAAAAAGTAGAAGCAGGCTGGCGAATTATAATTATAAAAAGCTATGTAAGATGTTCTAATATAAGCATGCCACTGTCCAGTACAACCCAAATAACTCTAATAATTAAACAGAGAAAGTAAATTGCAAAGAAAGATGCCGTAGCATTGACGGATTTAACTACAGTAAAACAAAATCCACGAAAACTATGAAGTACAGGGGGTCCAGAAGGCCAAAACCCCGCGATATGCACTGTATATGCTTTCCGAGATATATTTTGACGAAGCTTCTCATATTTTTGACTTAATGCTGATTGTCAATGCCCGAACATATTCAGAACACTGTATCCACATTCGTTTTACAGGTCATTTTATCACCGTCTTTTGTCTTTTAGGTATCGTGGCACCACGGGTTTAGTTTCTAATTAAAGTGCTATATAACAAAATTAAGCATGCAATAAAAGTAAACTAGGGGCGTAGTTCCATCATATGTCCTGATCAAAACACGGCTTAGGGCCTACTACTTAAACTGCCATCCCTCTTGGACAAAGTTAAAACAAGAGCTCTGACACTAGTTTATGTTGAATTCTGCACAACAAGAGCCACATTTCGAGTTCTAACGTCCTTTCAGCTCGGTCTGTATTGGTGCCACTGGACACTGGGCATTGTGGGCGCCGCACCCCCAGCGACCGTTTACAGGCACGTTTAAACAGATGAAGCAGAAAGTGACCCCACAAGGACACGACATGTGTTTGCACGCGTCCACGTGCTCAATGAGGCGGCTGCAGGATGGGCACGCACGCCACGAGGGGCAACTAGGCACGCCTACTATGGTCTTCAGGGGTGCCTCACGGAGAGTTTTCAGCCTGGGATCTTCCAAGGAGGAGCAGTCCGGGTTGCCACAGTTCTCGCTTGAGGCACCTTTCCACGCATGCAAGCAATCCCAGCAAAATTCATAAGAGCGCCTGGTCTTGACGGTGCACACCGGGCATTGGAGACACCTATCTTGCGAGCTTCGTCGCACGCACACACTCTTGCACAACGGACACTCCTTGGCACGCCCGCCGAGTGCGTTCTTGGAAATTCCAATTTCTAAAAACTGGCGGTCTTCATTAGATAGGAACGGGAGGCGTTTAACGCAAGTATCGTAGGGTAGGTGCTGCTTGCACTGCTGTTGGGTGGTAGGGTGGGTGCAAGGGCAGCTCAGAAGAGTTTGCCCAGATGATACTTGCTGGCGAAAGATATTTACGTGGGCAGGACCTACATCAAAGAAAAGTTTCGTTTACTTTTTCCCTTTTTTAAAAAAGCAATTAAAACAAGCGTGCTTTCTCAAAAGGCTAATTGAAAGAATTTAAATCAAATTGGCTTTATGTAGCTTCCATTGTCTACTTAACCTTACCAAAAACATGTCCACACGGTGTTCTCCTATCACTTTCGATTCCACCTCCGCGCAGGCGCATCACCAGGTGGAGCGTTGAACGGTTCTGAATGCCGTACGTGGATAAAGTGTGTCCTCTTCCCTCCTGAAGCTGTTTACCTGTAGACAGAATCAGTTCTGTCACATTTATCATGTTGACAATTAATAAGAAATACACATCACTAATTAAAAGCTAATCTTGATATCTTATCACATGATGTGGATGCAAAGTACGATAAAACAAATTAAAATGCTTCTTTTAGGTATACTATTCTCAACCTACAATATGATACAGAAAATGTGTCCGTGAAGTGAAATAAATTAATAGTAAATACGATCATAATCACCTACCCCCGTATATCAGTCTTTGTTGATCTTTTGGTATCTGCGTGGCAGCACTGGCCTTGATGAGGAGTTCATCTACTGGCATATCTCCCAAGCTTTTGTATGAGGACTACGACAGAAAATAGTTGCTTTTCACGTACTTGTAAATTCGGTAACTTTCAAAATAAATTTTATCATTTATGAAGAAATTCCGATATGCTTTAGAAAATATTAATAAGTCGTCTTGCTTCAAGAAAGTTGTTAAAATAAATAAAGGAAAGAAATGAATTACAGGGTATATGAAATGAGGTTTTTTAATTTAATCTGATTCTATTGAGCAGTGAATAATAGTCAAATGAATTTCACTGTTACCTTGCTTATGGAAATGGTTGAAGTTCTGCCATCCAGTCCTTTGATGAACAGATTCCATTCTCCACCGCCTGTATTCGCCTGAACAGATACCACCGCCAGGAGGCTACAGTCACAGTCTATCCCATACCCGCCAAGACGCTGTCCACACTCTAAACGCTGCCCTAAAAGTGTTAAGGTCTGAAGTGTCATATTTGTATGTATGCAGTGTGAAAAAGATGTGACAAGGAGGTCAAATGGAGGCTGTGGGGCTATACCCATCACCTCCAAACCCCCCAAAACGCGCACGCGCACACACACACACACACACACTGTGAAAAGCATGAGAAATAAGATAAAAAAAGATAAGATACAGAAAATGACCGCAAATATTAAGGTTATAACATTTTTTTATAATCATATATGACAAATAGGAATAAAAACTGGTTTTGAGAACTGCTCCCTCTTGAAAATTACTGTCCTCACTTTATTGTTTTAATTTAAATATATTACATCAGAATCATTAGGCAGGGAGAATAAAAGTTAACAATGAGTGGAAACCAGTAGTTCATATTTTACCTTAGACTAAGAACAAAAAGGACAAATGTAAAATATAAAGTGAATCAACAGCTGTTGGTAACCTTATACCAAAAACACCCTATATACCAGTACACAGAAAGAGAGGTTATCTGCTACACAGCAAACAAAACCTGTTTAGTGCCACCTTTTTTATCTAAGTAAGGTGACCAAAAACAGCAATTGGGTAAAATCAATATATCGGTTCAAAAATACACTGTATTTTCTTGTACTGGGAACAACAAGGGGTAATTCATATGTCAAAGATTAATGTCAGAGCAACGGGTCATAAATAATCTGAAACTTTCCTTCTCGTGTAATCTATATTGTATTCCCAAATACATTGTACCCTTCCACTCACTGTAAGTTTAGTAGGGTCATCCATTTTAATCATTTTCACAAGTCTACAAACCATAAGCTGGGGGGGGGGATTGTCCTCTGTAAGCTTATGAAACNGGGGGGTCTGGATAAAGTCTTGTAGAAATGTGAAAATGACGATAAAAATGGATGATCCCTCATGTACCATTTCTGTCTACAGTATGTCGAGTCTGCAACTGATTGTCCTGCCTAGTCCCAGACTCGCTCTACTCCTTAGTACTAACTGCAATGTACTAGAACCAATTTGTGCAGAGACTAGACTACATGACAACTAAAGGTAAAAGTCAAACATAATACCTACCTATATAAAAAAGCTGTATCACACCTGACTGTATTCCATAGCTAACAGCAACTGATAATAGAAGGGTGTCTACCGTGGACTCCTATAGGAGAAGGATGATAAGAAAATATAAGCTTCAAGATAAACGATAAGCTGAAGTTGTCATTCTACCACATAACAATGAACACTTTTCACATATATTCAAAATCACTTTCGTTTGAATGGATCGCTCGCGTTATGTCAGCTTGTCGAAGAAATCGTCCCATAATACTCAATTTCTCGTCAAAAACGTTGAACTTGAAACAATAACATTAATCATACATGTAATACAACCAGGGAACAAAATACGATACTTATATATATTAAGCTATTTATGTATAATGGTATATCTAGTACAACTTGAAAATCTCGCCAACCTCTGTTGCTGAAACTTCGAATGGGTTACCCCCGACTCCAACCATGCGGACGGTAAACTGCATCTTTGACACCTAGGTACAATTCTCTTTTTAAAAAGAATATTATATCCTGACTTAAAGTTGAAGTTTTCACTTGCCCAAAATATTTTGCCAAATCTGTGTCTGTTGCGGTAAATATATAGGGCCTCGTGCAACAGAAATATTTCCTGCAGTTTCATAACAAACCGACTTTCGGTTTCGAAGTTCCGCTGAGGGGATAGCCAAAGTATAGTTCACACGTTGTAAACTTATACAGATGTGCATTGAGTATTTTGTTTTCGGGTTCAGCGTTTTTCTCTTTCACTTATATTTTCTGTACATATATCATCAATATTTTATTCGGATGTGAATTAATTTGTTACGAAAGACGGATATCGTTTAAAGCTAGTGACCCTTTTAACTAAAGTGGATTCGTCTGCTTTAGACATTACCAAAACGAGGTTGGGAATTCCCGTTCCTCTCACAGCAAGCGCGTCATCTAATTCATTTAGTCCGTGGGCCAAATACCGAAACCCTCCCCCCCCTTAGTGATTTTCGTTCACTATGTTTTTCTGATAGCTTAGGTCCTTAGCTTTTATTTTCTGCTTGTTTGCCATTAAACTGGTGGTGGGTGTGTGTGCTACAGCCGTTGCCATGGTAACACACGGGTTAAAAATTGACATTTCTGAGCCCAACAAAATCTAAAATATTTCAAATACATAAACTAAATAGAATTCAAAATCGTTCTAGACATGTAGTCTAAGATGTGCACTATACCTAACGATGAACAAAATTTTCCAAGATGGCGGCAAATCCAAGTTGGTGGGAGATAATTAAAATCAATATTCTGTTGGAAGAATATATTATATCAATTTTAGCCAGTGTGTATAAGCATATTGGCGGCCATTTTGAATTTTGAAAGTCTTTATGTAATCAGAATTAATGCAAATTGTTTTAAAAAGTCCTAAGCTCGAATTCAGTTTATTAAAAGTAATAAAGAATGACACTTTGATGATAAATCTGGCATCTTTCCAGTTGGGACAGCAGACTTATATTTTGGCCACCATTTTGGATTTGAGGATTTTACAACAAAATTAAAAGGTTTCATCTAAAATAAATACTGTAGGTAGCAAGTAGAGACTGTATGCTATTCCGGCGCATCAAAACATATCCCACATTTTTATTCCTTTATTATTGAATAAAGACTCAAATATGAAAAATAATTAAAATTACTCAAAAATAAGCAAAAATTGGTCGCCATCTTGAATTTACAGCCATCTTGGAATATTTTGAGGATCATAAAGTATAGTGCAGCTATTAAACTATACATCTGAAAGGATTTTGAATTCCATTCACATAACACATTTGAATAATTTAATATTTTTTTGGTCTCAGAAATTTCAAATTTTTATCTCAGACGTTACCATGGCAACGGCTGTAGCACACACACCCACCACCAGTTTAATGGCAAACAAGCGGAAAATCAAAGCTTTGGACCTAAGCTATCAGAAAAACATAGTGAACGAAAATCACTAAGGGGGGGGAGGGGGGTCTACATTGGCCCATAGACTAATTTTTAGATAAACATGTCATAGCCTAAAAATATTTTTAAAAGAATTCCTATTTGATAAGCTTACTGCAATCAACATTTTTATCAGTAACAATACCAAATTTTCATTAGCTGTTTATGTTAATAATTTACAGCTTACATTATTTATGACGTTTAAAACTTCCATTTGATAAAATTACATGTACTGTTGGCAATTTTACTATAATATGTAAGGCACACAGATGGATACCTGACATCAGCCTGAGGAGGTAAATAATAGATTCCAATAGTCTCCCTCCCCCCCCCCCCCAAAAAAAAAAAAAAAAAAAAAAAAAAAAGCTTTTTCATTCCCGGTTTACTACACAATGCATTCTGGAACTGAAACATAATATATTTGCATATTCTTGTACCCAGCTCGCGTATCACATCATCAGATGTCATCAGATAACAGCGGCCTGCCTTTAGTTCAAGTTTGACGTGACCAAAACGAAATCGGGGATTCCCGTTCCCCTCAAATCAAGCGCGTTAAGTTCATTTCAAGAGACAGCCGAAGAGAATTATGCCATAGTCTAAAAATATTTTTTTTGATAATTCCGATTGATAAGACTATTGGAATCGACGTTTTTCTCAGTAATAATACCAAGTTTTCATTAGTCGTTTACTGTTGTAATTTACCGCCTAGGGACCAGAACGGTTTACCCTCCAACGCCTCCTATGCCATGCCATTTTGGGGGCCGTAGCAATAGTCCGAAGGTTCAATAGTCCGAAGGTTCATTGGTCTGATTATTCACTATAGAACCTTCGGACCAATGAACCCTTGATTAAAAAATCGATGANTTTAAAACTTCCCTTTGATAAAAATTTCATTTCCTTTTGGCAATTTTTCTATAAAATTTAAGGCCCACAATGGAACCCTGACACCAGCCTGGGGGGTAAAAAAAAAATTCCAAAATTCCCCCCCCCCCCCCCCCCCAAAAAAAAAAAAAAAAAAAAAAAAAAAGCTTTTTCATTCCCGGTTTACTACACAATGCATTCTGGAACTGAAACATAATATATTTGCATATTCTTGTACCCAGCTCGCGTATCACATCATCAGATGTCATCAGATAACAGCGGCCTGCCTTTAGTTCAAGTTTGACGTGACCAAAACGAAATCGGGGATTCCCGTTCCCCTCAAATCAAGCGCGTTAAGTTCATTTCAAGAGACAGCCGAAGAGAATTATGCCATAGTCTAAAAATATTTTTTTTGATAATTCCGATTGATAAGACTATTGGAATCGACGTTTTTCTCAGTAATAATACCAAGTTTTCATTAGTCGTTTACTGTTGTAATTTACCGCCTAGGGACCAGAACGGTTTACCCTCCAACGCCTCCTATGCCATGCCATTTTGGGGGCCGTAGCAATAGTCCGAAGGTTCAATAGTCCGAAGGTTCATTGGTCTGATTATTCACTATAGAACCTTCGGACCAATGAACCCTTGATTAAAAAATCGATGAAAATGTTACCACTTTTCGGACCAATGAACCTTCGGACCAATGAACCTTCGGACTATCGAGACGCCCCCGCCATTTTGTACATCTAAATAATTTTTCTGCCAACCATATTCTTTCTTATATTGTCTCTTTCCTTTTCCCGTTTAAGAGTGCATTGCACCCATTATTATTCGCATGATGGGTCCCACCAGGGAATTGTATCAATACAATTTTTCATTCAATAAAATTTACAATAAAACAACGTACACTTAATAGATGATTTTTCAACTATCTTGATGGTCACTTGTTATTCAGTACATAAAAACTCAAGTTGAATATGTAAAGTACATGATACACAGATGTACACAGTTATTTTAACTCTCCCATCTAATTTCTATTCTGAACATACAAGTAATTTGGTTTGTTTTCTATTAACTGCAACAAGAACATTATCTATTTGTTTACATTCAGTATACTTGCATATGTCCCTGTACTTTTCTGTCAGGTCAATAAAACCAATAGCTTCACTTTATTATGATATACTGTTCAATTTTTTAAATTTTACCCAGGTATACATGTAAATCAAAAATTTATAAATAATGACTCGATGTTAATGGTGTCAATGGGTGCCTCATGAGTATTACCACCACCTAGGCACGTGCTTGAAAGAAGAACAATTGCACTGTATTTATCATGTTGTAGAAATAGATGTATCAGAAGGGTGATTTGAACATGATTTGGAGGGTTAAACTGGTACAGTAGGTATGTAACACAAGACTGATGTTTGATTAAAATGCCACTCTTCATGTATTACAGTGGCTAATACACAAATTAACATTTTAATATTAATTACATTACATTAATTATTTAAAAATAAATGCATAAAACAGCCACCAATGCTGAAGCATAAAATTACACAGAGTCCAAAAATTCACCGCAGTTTAGGTGGATTAATGTAGACATGGATGTAGATGTAGATGCCCAAAGAATCTGACCAAACACAAGCTGGTGGTACCATTATAGGACAACAACTTATTTATGTTTATTACATCCATCATGAAAATATACAAAATTTACCGCACTCTTAAAGTGTATAAAAAATATATTCCATATTAAACATTCTTGCCTCTATTGAGTTTTCACAGTTTCAATTGCATATCTCTCTCTAAAATCTCCCTTTCTTTAAGTTTCTAAGATTTGTTTTAAAGATGGAAGTATGTATATCTAGATGATATAATTCCCTGTTTTAAATAAGTACTAATGCATCCATCCTTAGCCATTAATGTAATCGTTTCACAAATGTATGGCACTTAATTATCTTCAATATTAAATGATTCCTTCAAGAATAAAAAAAAATCAGTTTAAAATAGTGAAAATTTACAATGCCTACACAGGTATTTACCCACATTCTGGCAAATGTAAACAGTTCAGGTACCTTTCTTTAAATGTACATGTACTGTACTAAAACAAATTAAGGCACAGGTCGAAATGGTATTTGTAACCAAAAAACTAGAGGAGGTAACATTTTAGTGTTTCTTTGGTGGCTTAAATGTGCCCTCAGCAAACAGTTTCTGCCACACAGGACCTGTAGGATACTCATGGGTATCTAGGGACGCCTCTCTCATCTCTGTCTGAAATCCTGGAATCTGAAAATAGTTCAATAATACCATTCCTTTCTCATGTTTTGACGTGTCTTTCTTTTTTGACTTGAGGGGTCTTTGAAGTGCAAATAATTAAACATATTTAACCAAGAATGACTTATTTAGATGACTGACAAAACACATCTGTACACAGGAAGACTGTTACATATAAAATAAAGTAACAGTACCTGTGGCAAAACATAGTGGCCTCCCTTCACTTCAATTGGGAACTTGTAATTCTCATGAAGATGCTCTGCATATTCTAGAAATCTGATACAAAAATTATATTACATTATTTTTCCCACAGTCTTTGTTACCTGTTTAATGTGACAGCAGGTTTAGTGAACACATGTGAGTGATGTTAGAAAATATTTTATTCCAATTATATGCAAACAATTCACAAACCTGTTTTCTAAAGTCCTTGAAACACAGATGTAGTCAAAGTATGAGAAATGCTGATTCACTTGACAGAGACCAACCCCTCCAGCATGAGGACAAACAGGGACTGAAATAAAACCACTTTTGACAATCTTTCATTCCATAAAGATTCAGGGAGGTATAGTACGCAAAATTCATCAGTGCATCCATATGTGTATCCTTAATATCCTTAATTTTGTCTTCCATCTGATTGGCCTTTTTTTTTCGAATGTGATGCATTATTTGAGCCCAATATTCTCCCTGAAATGCGATTCGAGATTTCTTGGTGATTGGTCTGAATATACCTTGCTGATTGGTGATTTAGCTGTTTTAATCTTGGTGGTTGGAGATTGGTATTCCCTACCCTCTATCTTTACATAGTCCTACAGTGTATAAGCACATCCTTTAATGTATTTTATTGAACCAACAATTACTAGAAACATGCCAATGTTTAACACAACTACACATCCTACATTCTTACCATTTAATTTTGCTGCCATAAGTAACACAGCGAGGACTTCATTGACACCCCCCAGTCTACAGCCATCTATCTGGCAGTAGGCAATGGAGTCTGCCTGGAACAACTGTTTGAACACAACACGGTTCTGGCAGTGCTCCCCTGTGGCCACGGCTATGTTGTACGGCTTCAAAGCCTGGGATAGAAAGAGTAAACATTCCCTTTCTTTATCACAAAATTGAATTTTTTCATAAAAAACTTAACGGGCAGCACAATTTTTTATCTTATAGTGATTCCCCTTCTTTACAATATAACTTAGGAGGTACGGGGTACTAAAAGAAATCTGCAGGTCCTCCTAATATATGGTGCAAGTCTGTAAGTCAATGTTTTCTTATAATTCATTTATATGTATTGTCTTTTCACATAAACCTTGCTGGTCAAGAGGACATGCATTATTCAAAATCTTGCCAGTCCTCTGGCTTTTCAGGTGGGTATAACCAATCAGACAGGCAGTTTCCCTATGTCTGTAATATACTGTGCCTCACAAATATATACCAGTACTCTATCCCTGGTACTGCACCCTACATACTGGTAGTGTTCTAATGGAGTATACAGCAGGCAAACCTTCTTCACACAAGTAAACGTAGTGAAGCAGTCTGAGAGTGACATTTCACCTTGGCAATGGTAGCATGTCCCAGAACATCATCAGGACTGGTGGGCTCTTCTATCCACAAAGGCTTGAATTCTGTGAGTTGCTTCATCCAATCAATAGCCTCAGAGACATCCCAACGCTGGTTGGCATCTGTCATCTGACATCACAGAAAACAGTAAAATAAAAAGAAAACTGCACAGACCATGAAATGTTTTTCCTTAATTCAAACTTCACAAAACAACACTCTTTGTACCTGACAATATATAATTCCTCTTCCACAACAATATTATGTTTCATTGTACTAAGTACAATTACCGGTACATGTACATTGTACGACATATGAAATGTGTAAAATCAGCCTGCATGTACACTGTATGTCAGTAAAAAAATTTCATATATACCAGGCCTTCAGACCCAGAGGACATAGTTCAACACATCATTTTATAGGAGGAAAATGCAATAAAAGTAACAAACATTCTTAATATAAATATGAAAGTCAAGATATACATTAAGTCCACTGATTCAATGGTCTTGTTATATTTTTTCTTATTTTGTTGCACTGATATAAGTAAGCTGTCAATCTTATGATAAAGTCACTGTTTTGCAATTAAGTAGCATCTGTTATGGTCATTGTATGCCTGGTATTGTACTGTTTTCTTAAGCCTGTATATAAAGTACTCTCTTGTAGGACATGAATCTTGTTTTTGAGAATTGTAGTGGACTGGCAAGTTGATAAAATAGTTGTGACCAAGGAGAACCTATAAAAATCCAGCAGAGTAGATGTATTGGAGAGAAAATGCATTTTTCAATAACATCTTTCTCCTCAAGATTTGGGAATCTGGACTATGATAGAAGACAAAGACATAGTCTTCTCAAGAAATCAAGTAAGACTATCTAGACAATAGGAAACATATTATAATGACACTACCATTAAAAGTCATCTGCCTTGGGGTACTTACGTGCAGGTAAATTTACATTGAGTACCAGTACTCACCTGTACCTGTATAGTGCATTTGACATGACAGAAACTGGCTACCTGGTCTGAACACCCTGGGATAAAGGAACTAAGCAATGAAATAACTGAATTTAATATGGCGTCCATTAAATCTTTAAGATCAGCTAGTAAGAACAGACCTATGGAGAAACAAGAGAAGGGTGTAGAGAAGCGATACTCAAGTGACAATGCTAAAAATATACAGTTAATAAGAAGAGAACTTAAAGACGCGAAAAGTGAGTTAAAGAAATCAGTTAAAGAAGAGAAACTAGAAAAACTTGTTACTTTCATAGTCAAGAGCATTCTGAATGAGTATGATAAAGAAACAGACGATGCAGTCAGCACTGAAATGAAGAAAAGATGAAAGATCTAAAGGAGAAATATCAGCCAAAATTTGATCAACTAACACAGCATATTGAACGGCTAGAAACAGAAGTGCAAACAAAAAGTGAAGAAAACAGAAAACTTAATGACAAAATTAGAGAGCTGGAAGAGAGATTTGAATGGCACACAAAAAATAAAAACATCTTCATCAGAGACAGTGATACCCCTTCAAGCAAAACTTTCATTTTAATGCCAAGATATTGGTAATTTAATTCTGAATCAAGACAAATCAATTTTTCACTATTTTATTACAGTAAGTATTGATCTGAAACATGATCCATAATTATCTTCTTTTTTATATCACTTAGCATTTTTTATTTAATTTGACTACCTCTGATTTTGCTTCATTATTTCATAGCAATCAACAACATTACTAATGAGAAAAATCTAAACTGTAGTTTCATTTTGTGGATTTTACTCACAAGTAACTTGTCATATCCTATTTCTTCTCTCATCACAGCCAATCTCCTTCTGTCAGCCTCAATTCCAGTGCCAACTTTGGCCTTGAATCTACAGGAGAAAAATTATTCCACTTAAAATTAGTTGTGAGGAGACAGAATGATTGTTCACATATACATGTACATTTTTTCAAGATAATGTCTGTTGAGATATATCTTATAAAATAGTACAATGTAATGAATTTTCTTACCTGACAAATCCTTTTGCAAGGGCCTCTTTGCATTTCTACAAATAAAAAATTTTCTTCACATAAAATATTTTCTTCACATTTTATACAATATCAAAACTTACAATCAAAACAAACTCTGATTCATATAAAATACTCCTGCTTTCATAATTGTGCAATATTGAAATGCAATACTAACATTTTATTCACAAACACTGATATCCATTTCTACCTGTCTAGTTTTTTGTTCATCATAACCAGACCATCCAGCAGAGGTGATGTAAGCAGGGTATCCCTTAGATATCAGCTCTGCTTCTAAAACAACATCAAAAGAAAATAACCCTTTCTTTTTAGTCTCTCCTTCATTCAAATTACACTAAATATTATCATCAGAAATTCAAAAAGATGAGCAGGCTAATGAAGCAGAGGAAAAATTGGTCTAATTTAAGACAAACTGACAGATCTTAAACAGTAAAAGATGTGTAGTTTATATATATACAGATATCTTCATAAGGGGGGTAGTAAACCTATAAAAATAAAGTGAGCTGATACAGATAAATCTTAAACCTTAAAATCTTCAATTTCAACAAAAAATGTACACATGCAACACTACACGTAATTCTTCAACTCTTACATTACCTCTTTCTTTTTTGCCATCTTGGCCTTTCTTCAATATCTCTGCAAAGACATGACATTTTTAACACATACATCAAACAAAGGAAGACTGTTTTTAAAAAATACATATATGACAGTATATGGCACTCTTAAAAATCTTTTAAAAACACAATTTTTTAAATTGCAATGTATGGGCAAGCAAAACAAAAATTATACCAAGGGCTTCCTCTCGGGTCAGCAAATCTGATCTGAAATTGCAATTCAGACATCATAAATATAGTGATAAACTCAAATATAACACAGCAGCTAATATAACAATAACATTTATAATAATAATAATTATTATTATTATTATTATTATTATTATTATTATTCAGCTAACACATAAATGCAAAATATACCAGTACATCAGAATTTCTTTTCTGTCCAAGCTCTTGAAAATGATATAAAAGTAAAATAATAAAATAATAATAAAAGTAAAAAAACCCTGGTAATAATAATAATAATAATAATAATAATAATAATAATAATAATAATAATAATAATTAAGGCCACCAAGTTTGAGATGTGAATATAAATGGATTACAGACAGTTTATGAAAAAAATAATTAGAATTAAATTTTAAAGTTAAAACAACAAACAGTTAAAGGGTAAAACATTTAAAAACCTCTTACTGCCCTTAAAAGTTAAAAACATCTAGTTACTTAGCACTCAGCAATAAAAAAAACACACATCCACATCATTAAAGCATAGGCACATAATTACTTCTTAAGTTTAAGTTTAAAACATCCAGGAAGGAAAATATACTAAGAAAAAGAACTATACTGATTCACATTTAAAGACAAATGAGAAACACAACATACCATTTAGTTTTACATGATCTTTTCAACTCATGTACAACTTACATGTATCGAAAATCTATCACTGAAACTAATTCTTCAGGTGTCTGAAAAAAAGGAATAAAAAAAAATGGTCATAAAAATTATTATTCAATTAATTTTGAAATCATTTTCTTTGTGTATTTCATTTCTATTTTACTAAGTGTTAGTTTTTATGAGAATATCCAAATCTTAATGTCAAAATGACCATACTGTTTCAATTTCATAAACCAACAAACAAGATATGTTCTATGAAATCTATCTACATACCATGTCTGCTAATAACTTCCATAAGGGCTGCAAAGAAAAAAATTAACTTAGATCAAGTTTCTAATAGTGTATACCAGTTTTCTCAAAAAATGTTGAATACACCCAAAGATTTTTATTCAATTTTTTTATTATACCTGGCTTTACTTTAGATTTATCACTTCATAAAATAAGTCCTAGAATATTTTGAATGTAACACTGTTGGTGATATTGCAAACTTAAAGTGATGCAAGCCAGGATTTTAAACACATTCTACGCAAGGATTGCTTTTTGGTGAACTTTCATGAGGACAATTGAAAGGTTTTAAAAGGTTGGTAAGTCTGGGGGGATGCAGTTTAGCCCAGGAAGAATCGTTGAATAGTTTTGGCAGAAATATCCTGGCATGGAAGTCTTTAAAATTTCAATGTTAATCATACATACTGCTGCTAGAAAAGTTAAGCTTTGACTGAACAGTTTGGTTTGTCCATCACATTGTAACTTTAAGGGTAGCATTTGCTTATCTTTCTTCCACCTAAGCCCACAGATCCCACACAGCATTGTAACTTATGGGGTGACATGCTTACCTTTCCTTCTATCTTAGCCCACAGATCCCACACAGCATTGTAACTTATGGGGTAACATGCTTACCTTTCTTTCTACCTTAGCCCACAGATCCCACACAGCATTGACAATGGCACATGTTGCAAGATGAACCACACCTTTCTCTGGTCCCAGCTGAAATATAGTGGTATAATGGCATAATGCATTTTGACTTTATATGGATATTTGCAACAGCCTTGATGTTTTGTTAACATAATATGTTGTTGTATATGAGTATCACCCCCTATCCGACAAAACACACACACACACACACACACACACACACACACACACACACGTGCTTCTGTACATGGGACATGTCAACTGTTATAAATGCTTTTATACTACACTTGTACCAGTGCAGGCGCCTTTTGAATATGGCTTGGGGGACACATTTTGATTGTACTAAGAATGACCATCATATTACCCATCTTAGCTGTGAGTCATTGGCCAGGGCTCTCCAGAACCCAGCAAAGTCTGCAGTGATCTCCTGCAGGTGCTTGCCTACCACAAATTCACCAAGAGCAAGAGCAGCTTCACAGACTGTAATTTCAAGATAATTAAATAAATCAGAACAGACATATGCTTTTACATTATTCTTTTACACACTAAGTATAACTGTATTCTGAATAACCATGCAGCCTTAAGTGAATGGATACAGGTAAATAAATATGTTACCTGGACAATACAAAAGGGATATTATACAAAATAAGCCAATAAAATATATGTAATATTATTCAAATATTTAATTTTTCTTTTCAGCCATTTTTGTGCCACATCTAGTTCTCATCTCACCAATTTCTGTTCCCCTTCCAATGGTGAAGGTGTGACCAAAGCCTTTGGCCTCTGTACTTGTGGTGAGGGTGATATAGGCACAGGAATAATCAGGATCAGTATGCTGTAAGAAAATATATACATTGTAACATAAAAAGAACAATGAGCATTTTTCATATACATTGAATAATAAAAAGCTACATTTGTTTCAAGTACACTTACAGTAAATTTGGAACATAAAAATACCTGTATTTGTCGTCAACATGGTTTTAATGATATACATGTACATGTACTATATGTAGTACTGGGTACATGTATGATCCCATCTAGTACAAGCAGATGCTGTCATAAAAACTAGCAGTTCTACTAATTATTTTACAATTATGCTATGAGCATATGTAAAGTTTTGATTGAAGGAGTAACTCATTTTTAACAAAAAATCTGAACTTTATGATTGAACAAATACAATGTAAATGTAGATGTTTTCCCCCACCCACCAAAATCTTCCAACCAACCAACATACACAGATATAAAGTCTATTATAATGGCTCATTTATGAGAAAATTTTCAATTTTTAACCCCCCCCCCCCCCCAACACACAAACACACACACAAACCCCTCCCCGCGCAGCAGACGCAAGGATGCATTTCTTGCAAGCTTTACAGCTCACAACCACCACCACCACCAGCAAGCAAGGTGCTTCTTGATTTATAAGCCTAGGTAAGAAAGTGCCAACATGATATAAATGTTCTCACGATAGCATCAGAACCATCTCCCTCGAGGGACGTTGGAAAGCGTATGTCACGCGCAGTGATGCCTGTTATCTTCACAGCCATGTTCAAAAATAGCAGACAACAGCAGCCTGAAGTTGACGCTATATTGCGAAATTCAATTTACATGATACAAGCATCAGCGAGCAGCAAACAATAGCTGTCATGATTTGTGTGAGCAAACTGTGCAATAAAATGTCGTTATATATTAATTTACACAATAGGACCATATTTAGTCTCTGTCTTCTTTTATTTGTCTGGATATAGAATGTCGTAATCGTGTCACGAGACAGTGTTAACTTCCACATGATCAGGTGGGAGATTCAGAATATAGGGTCATTTTGTACTATCTAGGTCGCTCTTTGTATCAGTAAGGGGTAAACATTGCTCTGTGAACTCAAACTTTAAGTTGGTCAAGTGGTGATGTATACATCTAGTACAGGCTGCTCTTAAGACAGCAACTTCTTTTGACAGACATTGATTCCTGCAAAATATAACCGGCATGGCAGATGCTCACAGTGATTTACGCGAAACGGTAAGAATTTATACGTATTGAAAATTTCACGTAATTTCTTATAACCGTTGCATATTATTATTAAACAATGATAAGAAGAAAAGAACGAGGTTATGTACATGTTAATATCGGCAATGAACGCATGATTCGATCTGTTTACCTGTGATTTTCATTTTCTTTTCACAAAAAACACCTAGAATATTTGAAAAAAAAAAAAGAGCTAGACACAGAAAATTTAAATTATCTGGCGTGGTGAGGTCAACACTGTGTCATTGTCAGTGATTCTTTGAGTGAATATCTGTAATTTACACTTCCTGATTATTAGACGTTTCTAAATAATAAAACTGAGACAAGTTCTCGAAACATTTTTAAAATGTTTTTTTAAGATAAACACTAAGTTTAACATCATTACTCAATGATTCTGTTTTTGGTGTGTATTTTCAGTTTTTGCAGTATTTCAAATACACATTTTTACCCTTTTCCATTTTTTAAACCCTTAAATGTAAAAAGATCTGTTTTTTTTTTCACTTAGATTTAAAGAAAATATTTTCCAGGGGAAAGTCCCTCTCACAGAAATCCACAATTGGCCCCATAGACTTAAGTGGCATGTGAAGTTATTCTTTGCTTTGGGTGGAATTCCTTACCAGATGACTGGCACTGCCATTGCATTCTTCTTCTCTGTCTTCCTGCTAGAAGTTGCACAAGTGAGTTGTATTTTGTTTGACTGTGAAATTGCCCTTATAAATGTTGACAGATGAATTTGCATTTTCATTCATTGGTATTCAAACATTTCTTCTACTTGTACAGGGGCGAATCCAGAGATTTTTTCTGACAGTCTTCCAAATTATCTTTGTTGATCCAGCCTCCATTTTTGACCGTCTTCCGACAGAAAAAATTAGATACCCATCAATGAAAAATTGAAAATCTGACCGTCTTCCGGAAGACCCAGAAGACGGCCTGAATCTGCCCCTGTTGTAAGCATCAGCAAATAGGAATAATATCGAAAAAAAAGTTGGAGATAAAATTTCTAACACCAGTTGAATTCCAATAAAGACATTACCATTGTTGTTTCCTGTATTTCTCCAGCTAGAGGCGTACGATGTCTCTGTGGTAGTGTTTGTTGGAAAAGGATGGGATGCCATTACTGATCCAGTTATAGGATATTTTGTTAATAAAACAAGAACAAGGTTTGGCAAGCTCAAACCCTGGTAAGTCTTTAAAGTGATTCAATTTTTGATGATGTGCCAATATGGATCAGTCATTCATTGCTATATAAACTAGCATAAAGACCTTTCAAAGTCTTGTCTTTTTATTTTGATATCTGCTTATGTTATAAAGTCCAAACACTGATGTCATTGTAATATTCAAAGTGCATTGTACAGTACAAGTTACTAAAGATAATTTGATTTTGCAGTTATTATCATCTTATCAAAAACTGGTTTATATCACTTTGAATTATATTATGTTATTTATGTAATAGAAATATTTGTCCTAGAAAATAATTAAATTTAACAAGAAATTTTAATTTAAAAAAATGTAATTATGTCATTTGAGAAATATTGTGAATAGAAGACTGAAAAGAGAAGTTGATGTAGAAACATCAATTACACAATGGTAAATGTTAGTCTTGCAGTTCTTAAGATGTTATTTATTGTTTCTTTTCTATTTATAACAGGATATTTACTTCAACTCCATTTGCCTGTGTAGCCTATTTTTTCCTCTGGTATGTCCCAGATGTCTCCCGTGGGGCTAAAATAGGATACTACCTGGCTCTCTATTGTCTGTTCCAAACATTATTGACAGTAAGTTTTTTAATTTCTCCATAATTAAACTATTTTTCTTCTTTACACTTTTGAAATATTCCTAAATTTTGTTTTCAGTTAAAATAATGTCAGTATCATAGTTATTGCTTTTTCCAAACCTTTAGGAATTGGTTTAATTATTACTGTATTATTTTTTGAAGATTTTGGATAACATATTTTGCCTGACAGTTATGGTATTTGGCATGTTGGAATTTTGGGCTTGTGCATGACATAAAATATGTTACAGTGTCTTCATGTGCCATACAGTTCACTTACCATGTACCTGACAGATGATCAAAAAGAAAGAGATTCTGCCACTTCTTTTCGTAAGTTTGTGTGATGGCTTCTCTAAATAACACTGTTTTATTCAATTCTTCTATTTCTATTCCTCACAATACCAAAGGCAGGGGCGGATCCAGAGATATTTTCTGACAGTTTTCCAAATTATCTTTGTTGCTCCATCCTCCATTTTTGACCGCCTCCCGACAGAAAAAATTAGATACCCGTCAATGTAAACTTTAAAATCTGTCCGTCTTTTGGAAGACCCTGAAGACGGCCTCAATCCGCCCCTGAAAGGTTTGCTTATAGTGTCATGTAACCTTTATGGATTCCATTTAATTTTAAAGGCTGTACTTTATTTTTATATTGCTGTTATTATTTTTGTTGTTGCTCTTCGTTTATTATTATTTATTTTTTCATTTATTTATTTATTTATTTATTTGTATTTTATTTATTTATATTTATTTTTTTGTAATGAAAATGGTACAGAAGTGAAAATTGTTTTTATAACTAAGCACATCATTTGCCTTTACTGTAATGAATAAGTATAAGAGATGTTTACTTGTTTTCTAGGCATGTTGTTTGAGATAGTTGGGGTTGTATTGGCTGTGGGGGTGCAGGCACCACTCATTAACATCTACAGGGAAAGTTCTTGTGGAGAGGGACAAAACAAACCCTCTAAAGAGAATATTGAGAATCAGGTGATTATAGGCAGATATATATATGTATATCTGTATTGTGTGGATGTTACCTGTACTTTATTTGGAAAGTTTTAAATTTTGAGTGCTCATATTAACTTTCTTCAAACTTAATTGTGTGAGTTATTAAAGTAATATATCAGATGGGAAAGTACAAATAAAATGAAACAGAATGTCTTCAAATGTACTGTGCAGATCCTGCATTATAATAGAGACTTTTCAATATTCTTTTAATTGTCTCATTGGATGTAAATGTTTCTGAATTTTTTTTTAAAACTTAGGAAAAGTTTGAAAACCTTGCATGTAGCTTGAAATTAGCCTAGGTTTGAGAGTTTTTAATGACTGCTTTATTTACAGAAATTTATTTACTTGCTCTCCACTGGTATTCTGGCTGGGATTTACTTACTGTGTGTGCTTTTTACGGTGTGTGGAGTTCATGAAAATAGAGGTTTGTGAGCTAGTTGCTTTGTCAGTGATTCTTTTGCTTGTACAACCACAAAATTAGAGACTAGAAACTAAGATAAATTATGGAGTCCTATATGTAATGTGATGGAAGTAAAATATTACAAAGTTTTGGCTGAAAAAAAATGATTATATGGGTCTGAGAAATATGAGATATCATCAAAGAACAATACTATTTATTTTATATTTGCACTTTTTTCCCACAAACTATTTTTAATGAAATATGGCATGTCAATAAAAAGAAATCCTATAGGGTAAAAATAAATTGGCATACATAGGCAATATAACTGCATGATTGTACATATTGGACCATCAGATTACTCATTGAGTATCACTGACTTTGTAATGTTATTCTATATAGATCGATCGAACTCTGTTTCCAAGATACTGATATACTCACCAACTTTTCTGTAATCTACTCGGCGCCAAGAGGAGGCATGTTAATCTGTTAATCTGATTGCGTTCAGCTAGAATCCCAACAGAGTTGGATTGATCGACGTAGAACGATTGTTTCATTGGGAATGGGCCCTTAGGTACCTGGTACAGTGTCTGCATAATTCCATTATATTTCTATCTTCTCCTGTTTTATCACTTTTCTGAAAACCCATACTTCAAAGGGATGCATATCATGCATACTAGAGTGTACATGCAGTGCTATTGAGCTTGAATTTCTGTTTTTTTTTAATATTGAACACAATGCAACTCATTGTAAAGTATAATGTTTCAGATTATCAACATGATGACCATGAATCTTTCTGTGTAAGCTACAAAGTGGTATTCACCCATGGCCCTTACGTAAAGCTGACACTTGCCTTCATGTTTGTGTCATTAGCTATACAGGTAAGACCCTGGTACACAAACCATATAAATTCTGACTGGTTTTCAACAAAGACATATTGTCCATTGTGAAGATTTGTAATCAGTTTTCAACAAAGACGTTGTCCTTAGTAAAGAATTCTAACCCTTTTCAGCTTGAATTATGTTATGTACACTTTAGCATTGGAAATCAAAATAAGTAAAAATAACATCAACACCAACAGGACTAAGTATTATAAGATATACAGATATACTGTACCAATTATGAATTATGTTGAGTAAAAAAAAAACAAATTGTACTTTAGTAATGATCAGCTTATGAACTTTGTGGTTAGACAATGATTAAAAATGAAATTTTATAATAATTTCAGAAATTTTATGAAAATTTCAGATTGTGCAAGGAAACCTCACCTTGTTCTTGACACATAGTTTGAATGTGGGGGATTCTTTTGATACTATGATACTGCTGTTACTGGTAAGGGGAGGCAGATATAAAATTATGTTTTTTTTTTTTTTTTTTTTTTTTTTTTTTTTTTTTTTTTTTGCCTTAGATACTATAAATAATATTTCACAAATCTTTTGACTAGTCTTGAGGCTTAACTGTAAACATATTCATGGGAGTAGTGGGTTTATTCAATATGTTCTTAAAATAAATCGGTAATTTTGGTTTAATTTATTTTGCATGATAAGATATATCCTTGCATGTTTTTCAGGGTACAGCAATATTATGTATTCCATTATGGCAGTGGTTTCTGAAAAAATATGGCAAGAAAAGTGCCTTTGCTTGGGGAATGATAGTGAGTTTAAAATGATTGTTTTAACTAAAGTGGCGAACTTTGAAAAAAGTTTTTCTGAAAGTATCTGATTTATCTGTATAACACGTACTGCATATGTTAAAAAATAGAGAAATTCTAACAAAAACAAAAACGAAGCAGCTTGCATTATAATACTTTAAAGTTATTTTGGAGAGAGTGAGGTTTACTCACATGTATTTGCAGAGAAAAATCTGCTATTACAGTGTATCCCAGACCCAGTGATATCACACATACATTTACCTGCATGTTCAAATGAAGACTTGGATTAAATTTAGTGCATAATTTTTGAACTGAATTGAAATGGACCAATTAACAATATTTAACACACTAAAACAACCTGAAGTGTGCCATCTACATGTTATATATATTGCCTTTTCTCTTCACAGATTATGATCCCTATTTTCTATGTCCAGCTGTTTTTTCCTCAAAATGAGAATGATGACCTGGTGTGGCTGGTCTATATTGTTATGGCCATAGCAGGGAGCAGTATATCTGTGGCTTACTTACTTCCATGGTAACGTGTAACAATCATTGACATGATGGCTTAATGGCAGCTCTTCATTGATTGAGGACAGTTATATCAACTACTTTGAAATTACAGTTGAAATGTTTTGGAAATGTTTTGGACACTAGCTAAGAAAGCAGTGCCGTAAGATACGGTTTTCTGGCAATTTAGAATATGCATGTGTACTAGTGTATATGTAGAAATATATTTGCATTTTTTTCAAAAGTATGCCCCAAAAGTTATCAGATCATCTTTCTGCAATGTTTTCTACTAGTGCACAATTACATTCATAGTCTCATATTGCATATTACATATTGTTTCAGGTCTATGCTCCCAGATGTTTTAGACGATTTCTTGCTGAAAACAGGCCACAGGAAGGATGCCATCTTTTACTCCTTTTATGTGTTCTTCAATAAGTTTGCTGTTGGTTTGTCAGTAGGACTTTCACAGGTGGCTTTAGGGTATGTGGATTGATTCTTTATATCATTTATTAATTGTGGTCATTTTTGGTCAAATAGTGAACTTTTGTTCATTATAAATATTTTACTGAGGGCATGCGCCAGTTTTAAATTTGCTTTTAGAAGAGTTATCTGAAAGTGAAAATACAAACCTTTCAGTAAGATAATATTGTAGGATAGAATCTTTTTACTTTTTCTTGAAATTGCTTTTTCACTAAAATTTCCATCCATTAATGTGCGTTAATTAGAATGTGAAATTCAAGACAAAAGTCAATTTTGTACATGTATCTATTTGAAACAAAAAGCAAAGCTTCCCGGTGAACTGGCTATATAACACCCCATTTCCATAGATTAGATCGACCTACTTTAGATCAACCTAACTCCCTGGGGGTTCACACTAAATAGCTGTCAGCCGGGCGGTCACGAAAGTTAATTATCCCCTTACAGCTTGTAGTAGGCGGGAGGGACATTTAAGTCAGATTATCTGAAAGTAATCTAGTGAGACTCCCCGCGGGGATAGATCGATCTAAAATCTATGGGAATAGAGCCTAATTCTTTAAAACCCAAAGAAAACCAGAGCACATACTCAAATATGAAAAGAATCTGACATGATGTTATTATTTTAAAAATATTTCTGTAGGTTAAGTGGCTATAAATCCCAGCAGTGTGATCAAGTGCCATCTGTGGGATTAGCCCTACGCATGTTGGTGGCACCTTTTCCTATCGTGTGCCTTCTGATTGGTCTGATGTTTCTATGGAAATACCCAATCACAGAGGAGAGAAGAAAAATCATAAAGGAACAGTTGTAAGTGTTTGTGGTTTATTTTGGCATATTTGTCATTGTCACTCTTTGTCAGTTGGAAACTTGTACTGATATGTTCTCCAGAATACTTCTATCTTTTTTTTTTTTTTGTTAAAGATTGATAAATATTTTAATTTGCATATCAAAATTTCAAAAATCATGTTCATGAAATTTTAATATGAATCTTGCAAATGCAAATGTATTGTTTAAAATTCATTATGTCCCATTACTGGTAGATCTTTTGGTAATTGTTTTTCAACTCACTATTTCAGTTCACACACCTTGCAGTTTTTTTTTCAATTTCCATTGAAATATTTATATTAGTAATTGTGGCATAATCCCAGTAGGTGTATACTACATAATGACTTATTTAATGCTTTCAGAGCAAGGCAAAATGAAGGTCTTTCTCCCAGTGCGGATATGTCAGGTGCTTATGTTAAATATGAGTCAATTGAGGACACTTGCTAGACCACGTGATAGACATCTCTGTGTTCAGGCAGCAATGGATGTATTTTGAGAAGAATTGCTTTTGTCTTATTTTTGCATAGCAAAGCTTGACGATCAAAACTTGATGATCAATTTGTTTATAGAATACACCTTATTAAAGCAGTATTGAACTGTTAAACATTGTCAGTAGTGTGAACTTTCTTAATGAATTGGAATGGAAAATGTGGATGCCAGGTACCAGTATATGTGCGTTGAACTACGTTTTAGTGATTGTTGGTATCATAGTGCAACGAATGAAGAAACGAAAATAGGCGATCTTCTCACTAAAAAGAGGGGGATGGTAAAGGTTGAGAGAATCGTATACATGAACGGCAAGAGTAACACATGCGTGGAAAAATGCATGAAACTTGCCAAGATAATAATGACAGAATGAGTATTATAGAGAAAGAGCTAGACTAAACAGTGCTAAGTGACAATTATGTAAAATTGTATAGAGATGAAAGTCAGACGGAACTCGTTTATCGTATTTTTTTAGTTGAAAGTAAATCCATGATACAAGAAAACGTGTAGTATATTTATGTGTATATTATATAGCATAACCAATTTTCATAAACTGCAACTTAAATCGATGCCTTGAGGTGTTACCATTTACATAAGTACAAAAATTGTTACTGATATATATATATATATATATATATATATATATATATATATATATATATATTTGTATTCATTAACCATAAAAACTCGATTGGATAATTTAGCGTTATTCCATCGTTAACGTTCGTTTTAAAAACAATAACAAAGGGAGAACTGTGAACGGTTGATGCTTGCTAGAATTTGCGAAGGTATATGTATTGGGATTATCTCAGTAATTGTCAGTATTTTGTCTCGCTGATCAAGAAATTTTCTGAACATTTCTCGATCTCGTTCCTAAGTGAATGGACACTGAGAACCTCTACTGCAATGATGTTCGCCACACGGTGGTGGAAACACCGCAAGCAATGTGACTGCAAAGTTATACTTGAGCGATCAAATAAAACCAGGCAGTGTGGTTTTAAAATGAGCTTGCGAACGACTATGTTAGCACAGAGGACCCAGAGGGGAGGTTGGCAAGTGGCTCAGTAGATCCACAGGTCTCTCGCTCGTAGCTCTACTTGAAAGAGCCCAAAGTGAAGTCTTTGAGGTACAAAGGTCACTAAAGCACAGAAACAACATTTTCTTGGTTTGCAAGCGCTGAGCATCTAGGGGACCTTTTTTGTCGCCCATATGTAAGGATTATTGGATTACATTGTGTATGCTTAGTTTCGAACTTGGCATGCCTTTCAACATGTTTAACCACCATGGGTTTGAAGAAAGACGGAAACATTGCTCTCCAGTTTTAGTGCTTAAATGAAACGTGCATGGCTGCCGGACAGCCGCAGGTGATGGCTATATGTACATACGCTAATATGTAGTGCTTTAAAAAGTTCTTGAAATGGCATCTGCAGTAACAAAAGAACAGAAGATGTGATCTAACAGATAAGACCAATAAATTGTGTACAACGTAAAGATCATCACGAATATTTCAAAGTTCAAATGTGTATTTAGTGGTTATCTATGCGGCAAATGAAAAAACAAGTAGATTTATATCCGAGTCACAGTGATGGTTGTCGATCATTTTTCTTCGGAGACTATTCGCCAAGCCACATATCTACCTAATTTGAGTTACAATTGATGTCTGCAGTGTATTATTATTGTAAAAAGAGAAAATTGAATAAAAAGTGAAAATCATATTTTTGCAATTTCTTGATTTTTTGAGACCTTACTACTAAGTGTACCCAAGGATCCATCTACGTGCTCACGTACATTTTAGTACTTAATTTGTTCTGTTATTTTAAATTGAACCACTGGTAGCACATATTGAAATGAGAAAACGGTCGTCATTATTTTATTTTATTTTGTTATTTATAATTAATATTTTGCTGTTTATGTTAGCCAAGCGTGCAGCTTGATAATCTTATGGCCAATTGAATATGAAGTACTCCTATAGTGCCCTATAGTCCTTTTCTCCAACAAATCGTGTAGATGGTATTTTGTAATATGGGCTCCCACCAACCTGAACTACTTGTATGCGAGTTCGTTAACAATAAGATATTTCCTAGAACCTAAAATTTCCGGTTTCTGATTAGCATGGCATTTTTATTAAATAGCCAGATTAGACGGTGCCTCGTAATTTTGTCTGTAAATGAAGAACAGAATATCATAAAAGTAGGCTCCATTGGAAATGAGATGTTCTAAATGAAATCGATACGAGATGGAACAATGAGATAATCGTGATGAAATCGCGGTAACAGTCGAAATAAAATGAAGAAATCTACAAGATGTAGATTTATACGGCAGTCTCATCTATTGCTTTTTTTTATCACACATAATACCGAGTCCCTTGGAGGAAACTGTGCAGAAACGTGCCTGAAGATTGATTGTTGGCAATTTTATAACGCTCCCACTCGAAACATTTGGCACTTATCAGACATTAGATGTGTCAACCCAGAATATACCTACCCAATCAATGTAAAGTATAATGAAGTCTAAACGCCATACCGTGAGTTATCTGCCCATATCCATATACTGCGATTGCAATTAATTATCAAGTGTTCCGTTTATTACGGGTTTATGCTAATCGATCGTTTATTCCTTGATGTACGCCGCGCGGTGAAATTAATGTTTGGAGTACATGGCTTTTTCTTAGACAATCTATAGTATTCTCTTTTTCTAGTTTGTTTTCAGGCAAGCGAAAGCGAACAAAGACTTCTAAACATTACTGCGAATCTTCATATGAAAATCAGGAACAAGGGTAAACATGACGCAGAAATCATAATGATGAAGTGTCGGTGCCATAATGGGCGGTTTCTGACCCGTGAGCCTACTAGCAAGAGATCTTATCGCTGGAAGCATCGCTGCTGCATGATTAGGCACAGCGCTCTGGGAGATCACATGGAAAAATCACGAGGTCTCAGACGCTTCTGAAAGGTTTATATGCCAAATGCACAGGGAATGAAGCCATGACGCATTAACTGAGCCAGCCAATGCACCACACGAAGAAGACAAAGCGCCTCGTGCTACGTACAGCACCGCGACTCGCTGATTTCATGAGATGACATCTGCAGATTGAGAGCGATCAATTAATTTCGCACTCGCGTCAAATTGTGCGTGGCTATGGAGCTGATTCAGAGACATTGTACAACTCGGGTTGGTGTTGACAGTGCCTAAACGAAACCCATGTCGGTGCACAATCGGACTTTACCGGTCCACTTAGCATTTAACATTGCCTAACGCATAATACAGCGAGGTTGTTCAAGGAGAAATGTCTATATGTTTACGGACCTCCAGTTGTTCAGCAGAAGATCCAATATCCGTGTATGGGCTATTCCGACAATCATTTCTACATAATATTATGTGCATTAATATTGCGCGGAAAGCAATTGTAAACAGGACATCGTGCTTGACATCGGCAGAGCAGTAATAATATTAGTTAGTTGCTGTGCTGTTTGCCTCGGCGACGATATATATTGCCCTGACAGTCAAACCAATATTACCGGAGACTTTGAGCGGAAAATGATGTTTCAAGCTAACTTGGTAGCATCGTCTGCCATCCAGAGGTCGTCGTTGACAGAGTAAGTATGGTTTTCATTGATTTTAGGTTTCTGGTGTTTTCAAAGCCCTTTCTATCGCCATAATAGTTTCAAAATTGAAGACAAAAATGCAGCGTTCCTATACGCAGGTGAGACGTGATGATGGCCAAATCGTCTGCTTTTCTAATGATTCGAAAGCAAAATGACAGTTTCTGAAGACGTGTTCTGGTAAAGGACAACAAAACACGTTTTATTAAATGTCTAAGTAAGACATCGTTCAAATGAAATATAGCATGATGTCAATAGGGAATTGAAAATGATTCCCAGATTGCACATCGTATCGAGCATTAGAAGAAGAAATCCATATATCTAGTAATCAGTCAAAATTTGAGCTTTCTCACTGTGAACTGCCACTGTGACAGCCGCTTAACCTAACTAAATCTTGACGAAACCGTTATCTTAGTCTTTGCACGACAGACACGCATAGTTAATGATATCTCGGGTTCTAGATCCTTTCCTCTAAGTATAACGAGCGTAAAATTTTACATTACTATTCAACTGAATACATGCTAAACTAATTAAACTGAATACATGATAAATCGTAGGACTATATTCTTTAACGTAACGAAGTCGTAGGACTATATTCTTTAACGTAACGAAGTCGTTATCTCCTTTTGGGTTCCATGGAAAATGGCACCATGAAGGTAATATCCTTCACTGATTCAATTTTAAGCCGTAATATCTGGCTGCTTGTCGGTCTATTGACGCACACGTGTCCCCGGGCACTTCTACATGGCCATGTTTACATACTTTTATCGCGTAAAAAAGACATTAACTATCATTTATGTATGTTAGAGAATAGGAAAATGTCTACGCCATAACTGATGACACATGCGCTGTTTTAAATATTCACTTAATTCAAAATGTCTACACCACCTTTTTACTGTGACATTTTGTATTTGCAATTTTGCTTTGTATATTCCACATCATTATTGCCCATTTCGCGTAAACACATCAAAAATTCATTACAATATTAACACCAAAGCCAACGTTAATGTACTAAAAGTTGCAAAAAATGTAGGGTAATATATCCAACGTGGTGAGGTGGCTTTCCACCTCCTCACGCAGCAAAGGAGAAATGTCTTATATTTGTGAAAAGGGCATTCATTAAACCACTTTTGTTATTTCCTTGAAAGTGTATGGTAACGATGCCGATGATGATCATGTTAAAAACGTTCAAACCCAAAGAGAGGAGTGGTTTGGTAAATTTTTTATCTGGGGGAAGTGAGGCTAAAGCGTGCCAAAAATACACGTTGAAATATCGAATCATTTTGTGTCTAAAACGGTTACAGCAAATATGTTTTGGACAAATATACCAATATATAGTTAATATGGTAATTTATATGGTTCCAAAACGTTTTCAAAATGCTTCTGGCAATCGATTTCAGCCAATACCAAGGGGATATCTCAATTAACTCAATTTTTTGTTAACCACACTTGGATATTGTCCAAAGGGGATCGGTGTTGGATATTTTTACCGTTTCATTACATATCTACATGTCCTGAATAGAATTACGTCTGTCTCCACGCAGTCTTCATATCTACAAACGGAAAACAGACGAAACAAACGTGATCGGTAGCAGGTAATATTTGTTTTAAGTAGATCATATCCAAAGGGCTTTAAGCCAATTAGCGTATTACAATGCAAAGTTTACTCCATATCTCACCGACCTACGCACTTTGCCGTGTTGACACTGCGGAAATCATACTTATAAAAGACATGGAGATGACTTTCACGCCGTGTGAAGTAAGCACACATTTAATATGGATTGAATAATCATGCATTACTCTGTGTCTCCAGTGAACTGTTAGTTTGGTTATTATCTATTCTGAGTGTTATGATTGATCACACTTGATGCCTCCTCCAAGCTTTTAGTACCTCGAAGATATCTATATCTTTTAGCGCAACCGCGGTAACATGGGATGGGGGGAGCGGATAATCTTACGATATGGATTTGTAGAGTTTCAATGTTAATGTGTTTTCTGGATATTATTTGTGCAATTTCGGAATAGATGATTACATTTAGAGGTTCGGGTAATCGATTTCCCTTACATTGTCGATTCTGTACGCGGGAGATATGTTCAAGTCGGGTACCTTAATATACGAGTCACTAAACGTTAATTTGACCAGTAATTATACAATAATGAGACCGCACATACTTATAGTTGATATATGGCCATGTGTTCAAAGATTATTTGGCAAATGCTTTATCATTTCTGCGACATTGTACAATTTCTGAATAGTTTAAAATACAAATTACATTAGCCTGATTGGCATATTTTGCATTGTTTGCGTTTTTTCTTTTTACTTTTCGAATTTAAACTTCGAATCTGATGTTTTGTATTTGAAATAGTCGAGCTATAGCGAGAGAAAAAGCATTTGAGCGTTTGAATGAAAACAATGTGTGATGGAGAACTACAGGCGTTTGACACTGTGAATGATAATTGCAAGCAGCACGGAATGTTCATCTTCAGCAATCTAAGAGTATTACGACCCGCCCCCGCCATCTGGAAGGCTACGTCATGGGACGCGATGAATCATTTAAGATTTTGGCATCGAAATTTCACGAAAATACCGGACATCTTGAAATTGGGTAGAAGTAGCAAAAACATAAATGAAATGTTTTTATTCTATATGGGAAAAGTAACGATAAAACTCATACAGTATAGACTTATTTTGAACAAAGTTCTGTGAGGTCGTAGTATAGCCTGTATGGGGCTGAAACGGAAAATTATGCTGATTTACCAATTTGACCTGCGTTTTCACCACACAGAATGTCTTAGCATATTTCAGTTGGGAGGGAAATATAATGGTGCGAACGACAAAGATATATACAAAACACGCAAGAAAATTGTTTTCTTTCGGGATTATTTTCAGAAATAATCAAATTGTGCTGATTTTTATCTTGATCTGCACTTTATGCAATCCCCCAATAAATTTAAAAGGAAAGAGAAGGACAGTTTCGATGTGAACAACAGTGTTAGCTATGGCACGGACACATAAATGAACAGAATATATCGAATGGGAATAAACGCACCAAACATCTTAAAAGATTAAAAAACGAACTAATTATAATTCAGTGGAATTTCATCCATTGCTACTTTATGTCATTGACTCTGTCACAACGCGTTTCGCTCCATGGCATCTGTGATAAATGATCTTGCTAATAATGATGGAATATTTTTATAAATCTATTCGCTTCTATTAATTTCATGGTGACAATTTTCATAAAATCATTGATATACCTGGCTAGGACAATCACAAATAAATAAATTTGCAAATTATGGATGCGGAACCAATTCAGCGGGCAATGCTCAATTGGAATGAGAGTCGTATGCCCTGTGTGACAAGTCTAAGCAAACGTTAGGTCTAATGTACGTATTTAAAGGTACATACGAACCGAGCATCGGTGGAGCGTGGATTCCCAGTAACACATGTAAACCACTTCTACTACATTCTTATATGACTCAAATAAATTCGACATGCCAAGGGATAAACTGAATAGATCATAAAAGACCTTTAGACTGCTCCTTTCTTAAAATTTTTGGTTGTAAATTTAACTATTTCCATGACCTACTTTCCTGCCCCATTGACATACAGCTTAGAATGCCAGCAGAAAATTCTGTTCAAACATCATTTTCGGGTAAAATTAAACAATGCCTTTTGGTAATTCTCTTAGTTATACTACTTGAAACTATATGCTGGCATTTGGTTGGTTTTTGTGACAAAAAATTGACTTTGTATGCATCTGTAAGGCACTGGCACATTTAGCATATGACGCTAACGTTAAAAAAATTACCAGTACGCATACAAACGCAAGGGGTTTACAAACGCAAGATTTAACCCGTATACGCAGGCACACTTTGGTGTACGTTCGCATAACTGGAGGGAGAATGTTTCAGCATGTTCAAAAACAATTACATACGTTGCTTGTTTCTTCATGCTTATACGCTGGAAGCAGGGTGATTTCATTTTCTCAAAGTTGTACGTATAAATCAATGTCACATACGATAATCATACGTACCTCTTTCCGCTAGGTGTAACAACATTTAAGGCCTCTAACGCAGGTGTGCTTAGTTGCTTGTCATATTTTGCACAGCAGGTCTGAAGAGTAGATATGCCTCGTCGCACATACCTGAGAAGACCTTGGCAAGTTGTGGGGAATGTGGTGTGCTGGACGCAAACAAAAGGACGTTGCTGTTCACCTTTGGATTGCCTCAAGGAACTGTCTGTAAGATCATCAAACGGTTTCGTACAAAACACCATGTGAAACCAGGGAACAGTACAGGTCGTCCTCGAAGGACTACAGCCAGGGAGGACTGTATACAAGATGTGTCGTCAAAAGAGCATTGTCAGCACCTTCTCTGAGGAACAGTGGCAAAACGCGCAAAAAAACGGGTTTCCAGGGAAACAGGCAACAGGAGACTTCTGATTCATAGCCTGGGCCAAGATGTTATCACAGGAAAAATTCTACAACCCAGCAGAGAAAGAACCGACGCTAGGGATGGACGCAAGGTTTCCATTGCCGTGAAATGCGTCATTTTTTCTTATGAAGCAAGATTTTCTTTGTGGCATTGTAAGCAGACTCCATGCTTCATGTGAGATTCAGAAAAGATTAGCTGAAGACCATGTTGTGGGAACCGTGGTTGTCATTCCATATCAAGCTCGAACCAGTCTGGTGTTCCTCAGAGAAAGCTAGCTGCTGACGTGTACAAGTTCTGGCGACCAACATGGTTCCATCTGCTAAAGCTCATTTTGGTCCTACATTCTTGGTCAGTATGGCAAGGGTTCATCTCAACTTGATCCAAGAATACAACAGTAACCAGGAGATTGAGAAAGTAGACTGTCCTGCTGTATTTTCCTGCTTTGAACCCAATTGAGCACTGTTGGGATGTTGTACTGTATGAAGGAGGGAGGTCCAGCCGACAAAACAAGATAAACTGAGACAGGCGTTCTTGTCGACAGGTGCGTTCATCTGAAC